TGTAACACTTTCCGAGTCTAGGTATTCATAAGCCATAACAACCCAGTAACGCCCTACTGATGAACATGGTCCCCTAATGACTTTAATTTCGTCTCGCAAACAGTTTCTGATAACCAAGAATTAATCAAAATTTGCTATATAACTCTTCATTTTTTTTTAGTTTATTACATAGTACATTACTAGTACCGCGTTCGTGTACTCTGACACTTCCCTACAGTTGACTGAGAGAGAATGCTTTTAGCATCAAGTCCGCCATATACACATATACATATGTACTAATGAATAAATAAATAATTGGTGATAATGATTAGTCCTGACAATTTTTGTTTACGGCGACTGCTTTGACTCTGCTATTATTAATTAATTCTTTGCATAGGGAGCTGTTATTAACATTGGTGTGCCCAAATGTGGGGTACATAGCCAATCTTTTTAATAAAAAGTGCACATAGTGGACATTATGCTTGCTTGCATACACCATCGTTGATTACCATTTTTTACGTATTTTGTATTGAAAGCGATTTGCGAGTGAACGTTGGTACTGCCTTCACAAAGCAATTTAGCAACTATAACTACTATTGAGAAATAGTTCTGCCTATTGCCACTTGATCACTAATGACGCCCTTTGTCAGAGAAAAGTGCATTTAAATCATCTGGCGATTAAGAAGCAACAGTCCTACGTAAGACCATTTGTTTACAATTAGCAAACAAACACAAAAGGTATCGCACAGCGTTTATGGGTAGTCAGCCATTTTTGTCTTCCATGAAACATCTAAAAGAAAAACTCGAAACGACCCGGATGAAGAGGAGTAGTAACAAATTGTCTATTCACTGGTATTCATACCCCCATATAAAGATATACCGATTAATTCATTTTTTTTTGTTTGGTGAAAATGATATGGTAACCCCGCCTGCGCTAACGGGATACGCTGGCGGAGCACCAGTGAAGGGTGATAGATGAGAATGAAAACAGGCCAGTTAGCCCATCATGATGAATTCATCAAGAATTAACCATGGTAGTTTCAAGGGAGAACCGCGAGGAGGTCGACCTGGTTGGGTATATTGCTAGCAATAGGATTCTCAGTCTCCATTACTAACAATCCCTTTCCCCCCAATTGATTCATATTCTATACGATAATTTTTTTTTCATATCGTACATAACCGCAGTTCAGTCAACCAGGTTAATCAACTATACAAATAGGTATTTGTTAAAGTTATAATATAGTATGGATATTATAACTTTAACAAATACCTATTTGTTTTTAAGAAATCAAACTATTTCAATTATTTACAACAGTAAAATCTGTTACGTTACTGTACGATATACTAACGTATAAATATCTAACAATAAATATTTGATTGACCTGCGAAATATCACCAGATACAATTAATATAAAAGTTATCAATATTATACAAAAAGTTGTTATAACGGGTGGAAATTCAAGTACCAGGAAAACATTTTAATACATTCTAATATACATCTTGATTATAAAGATACACACAAATAATTAAGCATTGGCTATAATATAATATATCCCTTTATAAACTATTTTCGAACTTAGTTATGGATTCCATCTTAGTTGAGGATAATAAACATCGCCAATAAAAAAATTGCATTGATATCGATCCATTCATTCGAGTATTATAATAATAACTGCCCCTCCCCCCACAACAATTGAATAGACAAGGAACAGAGGAATAACACCTGAGTCCTCAGGAATGGAACGCATTGGAGGTATCATGGGCGAAACAATATACTCTGTTATGATCATGGTACTGCTCATGTCTAAAGGCGACGGTTACCACTTTCCATCAGGTGGGCTATCAACGTGTTTGTCATTCTAAGTTGCATAAAAAAAACAAGTCTCTCTACAAGTTAAGAAAAAAAAGTGGTTCAAATTTTACATTGAAAATGTAATTACCACATTAATCATCATAGACAAATAGTTTATAAAATTAATGGGAATCATACCGAAAAACCATAAATGATAAAAACAAAGGTCAGTCCCCGATAGCTGTCTCGCTCGGGCACAATGCCTGTTGGCCTTCGCATCCGTCGCGCTCACTGCCCCTTTTGTTTCATTGCGCGGGCGCAGGACGATGTTACTGCCAAAATACGTCAACGGCTTTTCAAAATAGGGCTGACGATACTAGATAGAATGTATCTTAGGAATTGTTGTTTTATGATCTGATTCAGTATAAAATTAGTTTTAATGGCTAAATTCACTCTTTGAGATACAATTGCTTCTCTAATCTACTAATGATAAAAATTTGATACCAGTAAATTAAATCTAGACTTTAAATATTGATTAGTTTTTATCAAAATTTTTATGTTATCAGTTAAAAATTTAAAAATAAAAATAAATTATTCTTCCGAATAAATAATTAGGAGTCGTTCAGGTCTTCTTACCCTCCTGTAGCAGAAGGGCTAGGCGGGTACCCCGGGGCGAACCCCTTTACCCCTACATCAACTCCGGAGGCAACTACCCTCGGATCACTGAAGCAATGCCTGTGATTAGGTAGGTCTTCTTTTCTGCATTAGGATTTCTTGTTGCTTAGGGTTTTCACTCATGAAATAATTAGGAGCAACCCTAGATAATGCGTACGTTACACATCCGCCAGAGGGCGTGAGGTCATTTTTAATTGTTTTTTATGTAATTGTCAATTGTTTCGCAACAGCGAGATTCGTGCGAATGAACCTTGTTAATTTGGATTACACATTTGATACCGTTTGATGTAACATCTAAGTGTGTTGTCAGTTTCAATGAACTCTTTAAAACGGCCTATTCAATATTTATTTATAACCATGACATTTTTATATTCATTACATGCATAGTAATTATATCACAGAAAGATCAACTTACATGTATGAGTTTTTTTTTTTATGCAACTTAATATGGCAAACAAATTGACAACCCACCTAAAGGAAAGTGCTAACCGTCGCCTATAGACATGATCAGTACCAAGGACAACAGAATATACTGTTTCGCCCATAATACCATACCAATACCCCATGCGTTGCCAATCCTGAAGACTCAGGTGTTATTCCTCTGTACCCTATAATTTCACTGCCATCAGCCGTGCAAACACAACTGCTTAACAGTAGAAACACGAATGGGACAGAGGTGCCCAAGTAAACGAATGAGTTTTTATATCTTGCAGTAAAAAAAAAACACTTAGGTACCATCAAGTGGACCCTCAACTAAGTATTACTCTAAGTACCCATTGTCAAGCGATCCCATTGTCAGCAATATATCCTATTACATTTTAGAAACCATAATAATTCCTTATAAAATCTTCACAATGGGTCTACCACCTGTTTTCATCCTCATCTAGATATTGTCTTTTACTGGTAGCCCTCTTGCACAAACCAATAGTGCTTGTGGGGTTACAATTCCATTATCACCTATTTAAAAGACCTAAGCATTCACTGATATAACTTCATTATAATAATATTTTAGGTTGTACGATAGTTTTCTTTTAATAAGTACATTACTGTTTATAAGTATCGGGTTTAAATTTAGCCGTCGATTCGCCTCAGTTAATGAAATAGAAACAAAAAATCTTAAGTTCACAGACCATTGCTCATATTCTTAAAAATCTGTTGCAGATATGACTGTTATTTTCACCGTTATATAATTAAAAATAATAAATGACAAGCGTTCTTGTACAATCATAGTTTTCTAATTGACTTTATACACGGTAAGATTTGTGGAAATCCAAGTCAAATGCGACAGTTAAATCTTTTCCAGCAACTGGGCCCTTATCTTATTCATCAGAAGTGAAATGATTACAAGAAAATTTTGTATAAGTATCGTATGCTTGGATACCTCTAGTCCATTTGTGTTACTGCCGGCAAACAGTTATGCTTGCATGGCTTTGTATTGGTTTCGATTTGAAAGGTGGGATCATCGTCATCATCATCATCACCTTATCAACCATTATCTGTTCACTACTGAACACAGGCTTCCCTCTATTGAGGGTTTTACCAGAAGTAGCCAGGTTTGACAGGCGAAATGACAACCGCAAATAAGCTTTGATGATGTTTAAAGAGGGACGCTGCTGGCCATCCCTCAACCATTAAATTCCCTTAGTCGCCTCTTACGACACCCACGGGAAAGGAAGGGCTGGCCTGTTCTATACCGAGACCACATAGCCAAGCGTAAGGGTGGGATATGACAGTGAAATTAGAGAATCGGGTGGCATAACACCTTAGTCTGTAGGTTGTTCATGTCTAGAGATGACGGTAACCATTATCCTTACGTTAGATCGTCAGCTTGTTTACTTACGTATTCGAATTTGAAATTGCACAAAAAAATTTTCATTTTATATATTTCATAATTTAAAAATAATGTAGCTTACTTAGTCGATTAGGTTCCATATTAAGCAAGGTGTTTGCCAACAGAAACAATGAGATACGCTAGTTAGCAATGCTCAGCCTCTGCCACGCGCTAGTTCACTGTGAAGATAACCCACATATACATTAACCTCTTTACGTGAACATGAATAATACATTAGTACAAATTAATTACTGTCAAAAAGTATAAATAAATAGCTAAAATATAATACACATTTTTTATATTCTCACTAGCCTTTCTACTTTATTTTCAATTAGTATGTTCATCTGCTAATTTGTTTGCACGTAATTTTCTTAGTCTATTTAATTAAATTAATTAAAATAATAATAAATAAATAATTAAAATAAATTAAATTGAAAATAAAAACACTTAAATTATAATTTGCATGCTTAATATTAGCTGACTAAGGAACTGTTTATGTATTGTATAAGAACTATATCTACCATTACTTATTCAAAGCAAATAAAGTATTCTATCCTATTCTAAATAATGCGTTCTCATATAACTCTCATATTGACCTGCAATAAATAAACATATAATATACTGTTTTTATATAAAAATCACATCTACTAAATCTAATTTTATCACTTAGATAGAAAAACAAACAAATTATGTCATCGTAAAAAAAGTTTATTGCTGTTATTTAAAATAAAAATACAGATAAAATAGTTTTAGCACGAAAAGCTTTCATCTAGCTAAGTAATATTATGTAATATTTAAATCAGATACATAAATATCTATTTGATTTTAATTTTTGTTTTTTTAGTCAGGCGTATCTATGTGGATATTAGAAGCTAAACATTATTTTCTTCCATAAAGACCGACAACCTACGAACACGTTATTATACATTACAAATTAGTCAGATCTACTCACGTCACTTTCGATTTCGGTAAAACAACATAACACTTCTCTCTTGCAGGTGCCCGCGAACTCTTCGTCACGTAGATTATTGAATCGTTCCAAGACTCAGCACCGTGAGGTGACACTTTCACTGGTAGATCACGCCCCGATGTTCTCACGGTGAAACCGTGCGAAGAAAACTGCCAGGAAAATGCACATTGTGGCAACAAACAACAGGCCTCGATGCGCCAGGTGATCCGCCATGCGCCAGACGGTGCACCCCGACTGCAACAAACCATCGAAGGTCCGGTTAAAACCGGCTCATACCGCACTATTCTGGCTGTTAGCATTTCTTCAAGTAGTCGGAGCGAACCGACCGCCGCGTTTCCTTATAGATGGCCAGTCAGAAATTGTTGTTAGACTCAAGGAAGGGCCAGACACGCCGGTTGGTAAGTAAATTGTTCATATTATAGTGTAATACCATTGTACTATCTAAATTTCTTAATATTATATGCCGATGTTATGTAATGTTTTCTAATAAGATTGATTATTTTAACATAAATATTAAATAATAATGATAATACCAGAGGGAGACTTTGTACATAAGTCGATTGCTTGGGTACCTCTGTCCCATTCGTGTTTCTACCGTGAAACAGTTGTGTTTCATGCATGGCTGTGTTTCGGTTTGAAGGGTGGGATATGATGTGAATTTACAGGGTACAGAGGAATAACATCTGAGTCCTTGAGGAATGGCAACGCATGGGGGTATCATGGGCGTAACGGTATACTCTGTTATTTCCATGGTACTACTCATGTCTATTGGCGACGATTACCACTTTCCATCAGGTGGGCCGTCTGCTTGTTTGCCATTCTAAATTATATAAAAAAAGTAGATATAAGAATAGCAATAACAACGATCATACATAACTACATTGGAGACATGATACCAATCCATAATTAAGAATAAGCTGTTTAGAATATCCTTTATACTATACTTACTAAAGAGTACTAACACAGTATTAACAATACCTATCTTGAAATAGTAGGTCAACCAGGTCAACTGCAAATCGAATTAATATTTGTACTTGTAATAAGATTACATATGTTGACAAAAATATAACATAACTAGAAGAAACTTTAAAAATCTATTCTAGGTTCTAATCCATCTAAGTATTTTTTTTTTTTTTATTTCATACCTTTAGAAATTTTTCTTAAAAAAAAAGTTTAGCCCGTGAATTAAAAGTGTATAAGTACATAGCTTTATTTAGATAGATAGATAGATAGATACTCTTTATCGTTTCCTCTAAAAGATTACATATACAGTAATAAACTTATTATAAAAACAAACAATTACAAGAAAAGATTACACTGAGAAATGGGAGCGCAACTTATGCTTATAAGCTAGTTTACTTAAGGTAAACTTTATGTCAAGCGTTACAGTGTTTAGTACTAATTTTTTTTTTTTTGGATTGGAAGCCTGAGCAGTGAAGGAATAGAAAGTAAAGCTTACTTACTTTAAATTAGAAATCATTAATCAGATAACAAATTATTTATAATAATTTGTTATCTATAGCAATGTCTAGATTACATAGGACGTACTTATAAATACCATTAATCCTAATAACCCGGCCATAATTCGAAGCTAATCCCTATTTTTACAAAGGAAAGTAACTCCCACAGCGTTGTCAAAAATAATAATGCACTTAACACGCAAAATTTTTGAATAATAACTTTTAAATCATTCGATTAAAAAATCCGCACAGTTTAAACTTGGATCGTTCGGCCGGAAACAATGTGAACAAAAGGGGTCTGACAGCCGGATATTAGTAGTTCATAGAGAGGAAGAGCAGAGTGGGGTTTCCAAGACAACTAACAACCAACACAGGGAAACCTTACTGTGGCTAGTACGCTTCATGCAACCCTCACTAATCGTTCATACTAAGTATACTATGTAACGATTTGTTATTTACTTGTCAGCTCGTTTTAACCTATTTAATATTGAAGTTTACTGGCTTATATATAGACATTTGTGTCATATATTACGTTTACGATACTGTATAACTTATGTAGTTTACGTACATATGTGTTTCACATCTGTGTGTTTTTTTTTTTGATGGGTGAAAATTGAATGGTAACCCCGCCTGCGCTAACAGGATACGCTGGCGAAGCACCAGTGAAGGGTGATCGATGAGAATGTAAACAGGCCAGTTAGCTCATCATGATGAATTCATCACGAATTAACCATGATAGTTTCCAGGGGAAATCACGAGGAGATCAACCTGGTTGGGTATATTACTAGCAATAGGATTTTTAGTCTCCATTACTAACAATCCCTTTCCCCTTGTGTGTATGTGTTTTACACATACACATGTGTTTATGTGATTTAAGAACATTATAAGTCAATGCATATTTGACAAAGTTTTAGGATATTATTTCAGAATAATGTAATCTAACTCTATGTAAACATAAACCAAGTTTTCCAATCTTATGAGAAATTTGTAATCGGTCACAGTAGATATATAATAAAACTTAGTGGCTCAAACAATAGTGAGCTAATTTGCGTATCTACTATAATTTGTCGAAGACTTTTTTGAAGCAAATTTTGTATGATAATATTTGATATAAATGATTATTTATTGTGTCAAATACGATACATAAAATGTCATACAATATTCATATATTGCATGACATCTTGTATATGTGCTTCATAGCAGAAGAGTTTGATTGAATGCGCTAATCACTAGAACTACTGGATTAGAAAAAAAATTCGCATTTAGTAGCTCATTTCTTGAAGAAGGTTATATATTGAATAGCCTATTCAACACCACGATACTACCACGGGCAAAGCTATGGATTACACCTAGTTAAATGTATAGCTGTTTCGCTTCTATGTTGTAACTATATACCTATGTAGAAAATTACTATTTCTGTAAATGGTAAAAATAAAATTAACATAAAAAATAATGTATACCACTTTGTCGTTAAAAAATTACTAAAACCGTTATTTTAATTTCAGGTAGCTTAATATACCGGCTGCGTGGTATTGACCCTGATGGAGACACATTGCATTTTGGGATTAAAGATCAACTGGGTAGTGATATTTTAAGATTAGAAGCCATTTCATCCAACGAAGCTAATATTTATTTAGTTAAGGAATTAGATAGAGAGGTAAAATATATTTTCTTATTATCTGTATTCTTTTTGCTACGCCATTTTTGTACAATTTAAAAATGCAAACAAATTGTTAGAGCACCTGATCGAAAATTACAATATTTGTACAAATTATTTACATTTACACAAAAATACAAGTACTTGTAGTAATTTGTAAGAAATCTGCAGTGTAAACTATGCTAACCTGTAACTGCCTATTGTCTATTTATTTCTTTCCCATAATCCCATAAAGGGTAGACAAAAAGAGTAACTCTATATTTCTTGATAGATACAATCAGCTTCATAACGTTGTTTATGAACTTTTACAATTTGACTCATAAATAATATAATCAATCGGTCTAGTCGATCTCTCATTACTGTCATGAACCCCACTGAGTAATTTTACCTACTCAATTCCTTACAATTGGCATGGCAATAAATAAGTTTCGAATAGATACTGAATGATTTATTCTATTAACTGCCAAGTTGTAACTTACTAGCTGAAGACTAAGAAATCCACGCAATTTATTAGTAATATATATAATATAAATACATATATATACATAATATATATAAATAATAATAATAATAATCTTTATTTACTACTCACAAGGAATATTGTACGACTATTTAGGATTTAACTTAAAATTATTATCCTTGTGAGAGTCTGGAGTCTGAACTAGGTCGAAACCTGTACTACAGATCTCGACGCTCTCTCCGGAGTTTTACAATACATTACTAAACATCTACATTATTATATCAATACAATATTTATCAAAATGTATGAACATTTCTAAATACAATTTATATGAATTTGCCTCTCACAATAATCGTAAGCACTGTCGTGCGGTAACAAGCAAAATCATGGCATGATACGGTAGGGCCGTACACGCACTGCAATATTTACTCACGAAGTCACGAGCAAACACCAGTTAGAAGTGCGTATGACTCAACTAGTCAATAGGAATTAACATAAACTCGATTTATTCGAATTCAGCTGCAAGATAAATAGCACTAAACATATTACACAGCGGAACCTAGACCCAAATTAAGTAAATGTTGTATTCTGGGTTCCAGATAATAGATAGAAAAACTTGCTTAAATAATGTATTTTTTTGTATCAATTTACATAGATATCACCCCGACCAATACAAACCGACATACTCATGAACGCAAACGTTTATATTATACAGGAAACGAACCCGCGACCATCGGCGTCAATGTGATTGATTCTAAGCTGCCATTTTTTTTAAATCTATGTAAAAATCAAAATTTAATATCATAATAAAATCTTTTTTCTAAAGATCAATACGTACTAAATTTATATATTTAACTTAAAATGAATATAAAATTAGAATCAACCGCAAAAATTCTATTTGTTGTTAATTTCATTTAGTCTTTCTGTGATAGTATTTCAATAAAACTTGATTGCCTTTTAATTCAGTTCTATTGCAGAAGATTATACTTTAGCTTTATTTTCTTACTTTTTTAGACCCGTGATGAATACTCTTTTGTCTTGACACTAAGTGATGGTCATTTGGGGGACGGTAATTTCATCACACAAAGCTTTTTGCTACTCGTAGAAGATGTAAATGACAACGAACCGATTTTTAAGCCATACCCCTCCGCAATTACTGTGAAAGAAGATGCCCTGCCTGGTATATTAGCTACTGTGGAAGCAACAGATTTGGATGAAGGAGCATACGGACAAGTAATAAAAAAAAACTCCTTAGATAATTTAATATAATTGTTAATTTTAAATATTAAAATTCAAGTATTTCGAAATTAAATAGTTAAAGACATTAATTAACCGTTTAGATGTTAACTATTGCCGGTATGATGAACGTAAAATAAAATACAGCCCATATTACTAATAATGTAGTTTTTTATAGGTTAATTTTTTTTTTTAACTCTGTTGAATGTTTTTTTAATTTATCCATTACAACCAAAAATTCAAATCTGCTCTTTATATCATTATTATTTATATTAAAACACAACCTAACTAGACTCGTAAACATTTTACTAATGTCTATGCTACTATCAGTCAGTCGTCATTCGTCACTGTCAATAAATATGTCAAACCTTTAAACATTATACTTAAACAAAACAAACATTCGAAATTTGAATAAAATATTAAAAATATTATAGGTTTTGTACAGTCTTCAAGAATTAGATGGAGATATAGAAAACTTTTCCGTACAAACAGTAAACGGGAAGGGTGTGATACGGTTGATTAATAATTTGGATTATGAACGTAAATCCTTATATCAACTGCGAGTCTTGGCTGTGGACCGGGCGAACCAAGGACGCGTGAACACAGGCACCGCAGCTATCCTAGTGAAGGTACAGGACGTAGAAGATCAGCCTCCGGAATTTGTGGTTGCCAGCCCCGTTACTAGAATCGGTGAAGATGCACCGATCGGGACTTCTGTTTTGCAAGGTAAACAAACCCTGCTGACTTTTACTGGTGCCTTGCCACCGTATGCCGCTAATATAGGCTTACAATTCCATTATTATCCATCAAATAACACCTGCTAATTTTAATACCTATTGTTTAGTTCACTTAAGTCTTTTTTTACAAAAAAAAAAACTAATTTTATATAAAGAAACAATTCGAAATTTAAAATTACATATTTAAATTTTATTTTCAGTGCGCGCTATTGATGGAGACAGGGGCATTAACAACCGTATATCTTATAGCATCATATCAGGCGGTGAAGAACATTTTGATATTGACAGTAGCTCAGGAGTGGTGTACACTGTCCACCAATTGGACAGGGAAGATCCAAACAATAGCAATGGAGCATATATATTGGAAATACTGGTTAGTATCTTGTTACCCTTTTGTTGCAACTTTTTTTACTATGATTTTTAGTATGGCTGATGAAGCTGTACTGTAGTACTGTACTATACTTCATGCCTACTATTATTTATTATCACCAACTTATGTTGTTTTTATTATTTATCTGGATTTTAAAATTGTAAACTACAAGACCTAGAATTTAATAAATATTGAAATTATTTATATTATCATTTTGTCAATCCATAATTTGTCAGATTGAACTAAGTATATAAAGTCTCTTATATACCTTAGGAAATTCTTATTAGGAAAGGTATAATATGACTCACTTGAAGTGAAATGAGTTAGCTTTAAATGAGTTTATTTTAAATGCATTTAAAAGATATAATCAGAGCATCCTGGCATCAATATTCATTTGTGCACATATTAATTATTGAGCATGTTGATGGGATTTTTTTATAGAACTCAATTTTGATACATGGATTAAAATACATAAAGGCCAAAGATAACATTTTATTATGTTTTGTATATTGTGTTTCCTAATTGCGAATCTATCGAGCTTCTGTAGAGGCTAACAAATATATAAATAAAAGGAACTATTAAATTGCAGGCCACAGAAGAGTCTCGTGCAGTGTCACCAATGCCCAGTGCAACTACCGAGGTGACAATAATTGTGACAGATGTGAATGATGAAACACCAAAGTTTCGTAGTGACCGCTATGTGTGCGAAGTATTAGAGAATGCACAGCAAAATACTCCCATTACATTCCTTCAAGACGCCATACCAGAAGTGTTCGATTATGATCAGGTTTGAAATTTGTAAATATATAAAATTCATATATATTACATTACTAGCTGTATTGACTAGCTGTATGAATCAGTACATAGAGTATCTTATATGCAATGTTTGGATATAATCTATCTGTGTACCAAATTTCATTCAAAACCGTTTAGTAGTTTTTACATGACAGTGTAACTTGTTAAAAAGTAAAAATTTATTGTTCTACTGTTTTTGATCCATCAATTTTTTTCACACATTCTTGTATACAGCCTGTATAACATTCTAAACTAACCACCACAGAAACATTATGAAAAAGTAATAATAATTCTAATTTATACTTTGTTTAGTGTTTTAACAATTCCTAAATATAATAATACTAGCTGACTCAGCAAACATTGTTTTACCATATACACTATTTTGAGAATTATACATGAAAATTTATCGTAAAAGCGTGAAAATTTGAATTTGTATGTATATTTCAATGCTAAATCATAATAAAATAAAAATGAAAAAATTTGTCAAAAAAAATTTTTTTTGGGTAGGGTCAACCTTATCATTGAGGGGTATGAAAAATAGATGTTGGCCGATTCTCAGACCTACCCAATACGCACACAAAATTTCATAAAAATCGGTAAAGCCGTTTCGAAGGAGTTTGGTAACAAACATCGTGACACGAGAATTTTATATATAAGATTAAGTGTAATTTCGTAAAGTATATACAAAGTATATGATGTTTATACCAGGTATTTATTAAACTCAAATGTCACAATCAAAAAGTAGGTTAATTAGTTAGTTGATGGTGGGTCATAATGATTATAATATATGAACAACACAACTATTAAATTGAGGAAAGGTATCAATAGTTTTTTATCTACAATCATTATGTAAATTCTTTATTAGCACAGATAATATAATTTAATTATAAATTCGTTTGTGTATACCTAATATGTAATAAGAAATATCTATTATTTACAGGGTAAAAATGGAACTTTTGAATTATATTTAAGAGGTGATAATGGTGTGTTTGATGTTACACCATTTAAGGGCATTAATGAAGCTTCATTTCTGATAAGGGTCAATGACCCATCTTACTTAGATTACGAGAGGGTTACAGTAATGAATTTCAGTCTAGTCGCCAAAGAAATTGCTGCCAAAGATCCTAAACTGAGGTAAGTAGATTTCATAATAAACATTTTAGAAGTAGAAAAACTAATGAAATGAATAATTTCTAGATGGTGTATCAAGATAAAGCATACAGTTTTTAAGCAATATTTTCAGGAATACAACTATGAAAACCACATCCAATTTAGTGCAGTAGTTTTCGCATGATGCCGGAATAAACATACAAACGGACAGACAAAATATTCAGTTCCTCATAATTTTTTCCTAAACATCGTCCATGTACAGACATCGTGTAGTTATTTTATTATATTAGTAATGTTTAAGAGAAAACAATAATTACAGGAATACATTATATCACAAAAAATTAAACCAAACCACCCTGTCCAGTTTAACCACTGGTACTTGCAAGAATACATTGTATTATAAAAAATGAAACCATACCACCCTACCCCATTTGACCATCGATACTTGCAAGAATATATTATAAAAAATCAAACTGAACCACCCTGTCCCGTTTGACCACTGTTACTTACAAGAATACATTATATTACAAATAATCAAACCAAACCACCGTATCCCGTATGACCACAAGTAATTGCAAAGAATACATTATATTACAAAAAAAAACAAACTAAACCGCCCTATCCCGTTTGACCACCGTAACTTACAAGAATATATTATATTACTAATAATTAAACCAAACCACCGTATCCCGTATGACCACAAGTAATTGCAAAGAATGCATTATATTACAAAAAATCAAACTATCCCGTTTGACTACCGGTTGCTTTGGTTTAATTTTTTGTGATGTATTATCCTCGGATATTACGGAATAATCTTGTTTGGCCACCGGCAACGCCACTAATCGAGATGAATTATTTGCACCTTGCTCTAACTGTCCTATTAAGCTTTCTCTTATCGTTACCACTGCTCGAAGTGCTTACAGCGTTAGTCTTTACAAAATTTAAGGCAGGTGTTTTCAAGTTCAATGTTGCGGATTCTACTGTATTGAAGCATGAAGTTACCATGCTCCAAAAAACATGGCATTACCACAATATAAGGAATAACAGTCATTTTGCGCTTTTGTCGTAAGATTGTCACATTTTAACGACTAAAGTCGTAAAATAATGAAATAAGTTCTCAATTTGACTTTGTTTCTTCACACTTTCAATATGATTATCATATGTTTAGATGCGGTTTGTTCAATCGTACAATAATATGTGATTTTCATATTTTAGTAATATTTCTATAAATAAAGATAGTTTACTACTGCATGAATAACAGTATTGATGCCAGTTCAAATCGCTTATATTTCGTTTTTTTTTTTATATCCACTCAATAATATATTTATATATAATTTATATTTTTAATGATATTTTTGTAAATAAAGAGAGATGATTACTGCAAGAATATTTTTTTTTATTATTAGTTGTAACGTTAACAGATTTTTTTATATACTATTTTCCTATTTGAAGGGTAAATGAAACATCCCAGTGAAATTACTATGTACTCAAGAACTTTTTTTTTTATAATTCCTTTAAGTACCTTTATTCTAAACATTAATATGTCTGTCCCATTTAAAATATGATATCATTGCATAAGGCAAAATAGGAGGGATACCTCCATATGTAACATAAGCCTTACTCCATAGACTGCCATAAGAAACGGTCCTAAGCCACTTGCATCCACTAACTCCCTGCAGTGCATCTTTGGCCGTATCTCCATCTAGTAAGGGGTCGTCCTATACTGCGTTTGCCCGTACTTGAGAACCTTTCTTCCCCATCGGTTGTCGGTTCTTCGAGCTATGTGACCAGCACATTGCCACTTCACTTGCTTGTTCTTCGAGCTAAGTCGATTACTTTGGTTCTTATATGTTCTTTGTAGTTTCGGATTCTGTCACGCAAAGAAACTTCAAACATAGCCCTCTTACCGATTAACTTGATGCTTTTTCAAACGACCTACCGTGTAAGATCATGTTTGAGTTCCATCACTGTCAGTTCATAATTCTGTATAAAACTTAAAGCATAATGATCCGTATAATATGTAGTAGTAAATTTACTAATGTAATCTTCTAGAAGGATCTAAAGAGTATTTGTTTATTGTTCACAGTATAGTTCCAATTATGGTCCACATAAAGGACGAGAATGACAACTTTCCAGAGTTCACAGAATCTCTCTACACAGTTTCGATACCAGAAAATTGTGGTGTAGGTACAACGGTCGCGTGGGTGCAAGCCCTAGATCAAGACTCGGACAATTATGGAACAAGGGGCATCAGATATACAAATCTAGGAGGCAGTATTGCTAATCTGTTAGTATTTATTATATAATTTTATTTTTCAGCCGATTTCAAAAAAAGCAAGTTCTTAAATCGGTTATAATTTTTTATGTTTGTTACCTCATAACCGATTTGATTTTTTTTTTATCTGTAAATATATCGTATACTTACAGATTGGTTCTATAGAAATTTTATCAAAATCGGTTCCAATCGTTCAGAAATTAAAATAACTGGTTTTGCCATAAATGAAGTCTGTTTTTTTTTTTGTGAAACAAACCTTAATTATGTTTCTTATATTATTAAAATTATCATATGTATATTTTTAATTGCATATAAATTGAATGGTTAGTTGAATAGAATTATTTTGTGTAATTCCGCTACCATTAGTATGCGTACGATTCCCAACATTTAAAGAGTGACTACTATTATTATTAGTAGAAGTTCTACAACCTTCCCTAATCAGTGATAAGGCTTTCGAAAAATAACACCCAGTTCGGTAAAATATAAAAGGGAATGACCCCGCCTTTGTTATTTGTTTACACTGACGCGGTATCAGTGAAGGATGGTAGGTGAAGATGACGTTTTATTATGATAAATTCCTCAGTAATTAACAATAATATTAATTAATTTCCAGATTAAATTTAAACCCGATATCCGGAGTAATTACAGTAAAACAAGCAGGTGGCGACAGCTTCGACCGAGAGCTCGTCTCTCGACATTATCTTACAGTGGAAGCACGAGACGACCTCGGCAAAGGTACATAACATAAGTGGAATGAGCTTAATCAATAATAATAAATGGTGCATCATGCACGTCGCCGAAGTAACGTGTGAAAAATATTATATATTTTTTTATATTCTTAATATTTATTTATATATTCATTAAAAATTAATTATAACATTATAACAGCAAAGCCAAATCAATGTTATAAATCTAGTGTATAACATAACATACAAATAATAGTGTATAAAATAACATACAAAGTTATTATAAATGTATTTAACCCGACTGTAAATATTTCTTTGCCACTTCTAATATCTTTAGCAGGCTACTACTAAATATATCAATGATGTTTATAATATTAAAAAATAAGTCTGAAGTTTTTTTACTGACGGGACATGTAATATGTATGCTATACTATAAGTATTTAGCTATAGGCCTATGTTTATGAAGTTATTATTTGAATAATAAAAAAAAAATTAATTATTTTATTTTTAAATTAAAGAAACTGTTTTAAATGTAATATGACTATATAAAAAATACAGACTGTACTGTAGTAATAAAAAAAAATTCTCAATGTTCGTTAGCCACATGTTTTATATGTTAAATATCATGAAAATACAATAATCTTTTTTTTAAAATAAAATTATTGAAGAGAGCGATTGTTTTTATATATTACTTAATTTTAAATAATTTAAATAAATATAATGTTAGAATACTAAATTTTTACCACCTCCATGGAATGATCATCAAATGTTGTGATTCTCTGATAATAAAATTAAAAAAGTACATCATGAAAATTAAAATCTATCTTCAAATAGTATTAATAAAGTCTTAAATTTATAGAGTATACAGAGAATCAACAGACCTCTTGTGTCTCCAAATTTTGATTTATCAATGTAGTGACATCTACAATCATTTATGTGTTAATTTTTGGTCAATTTAAACGTCAAGGTAACAGGAACACTGCTCAGCTGATCATCCACATCGAGGACGTGAATGATAACGCGCCAATGTTCCTCGCCAACAAGTACGAGGCAAGATTACTGGAAAACGAACGCCAATTTGAGAACCCACTCGTTTTAGAAGCGAGGGACATTGATTTGAATGGTAAGCCATGTGTATGTATTTATCAAAACAAATCTGTGCATAATTTTATGTATTTCATGTATTGAACGATTATTAAATTCACTAATAAAATTATAAATAAATAAAAATGTTACTACATCAATGACTCAATTAGTAAGTAATTAACAAAGCAATATAAAAATACAAAATATCCACTAATATCGAATAAAAAGACAAAGTGGGAGTTTATAGAAAAATTTCTTATATGGAAATCTCTTTCCCACTTGTATTTCTTCGGTTAAGCAACTGTGCTTGCATGGATATGTTTCATTTGAAAGGCATAACATCTTTTATATCAGCCCTAAACTGTCTACTATTGAACCTAGTTAGGCTTTGGTGATGTTTTAAAAGGGACGCTGCTGCTCATCCCTTAAGTACCTTTAGTCACCTCTTACGACACCCACGGGAAAGAAAGGGTCATTGATATGCCGCGACCACACGGCAGCATAACATCTTAACCCTTACAACTGATAACACGTAATGTACCATGGGCATCACGATTATTCTGTAATGTACATGAAGCTATTTATCTGTAGGTAATATATAAAAAATACAAACAGAAATATATTTCCAGGTACCAAGAACAGTCATATAGAATACTCAATAGTGGGTGGAGATTATAAGAATAATTTCTCTATCGATCCCAATCTGGGTATCATCATGCCGGTAGGCGGACTGGACTTTGAGCAGATACCCGGCGACAACACTAACATACGACCAATACATTTAACAGTGAGTTAATAATGATTAATAATATTATAGACTAAATAAATAATAAATAAGTAATGTACAATAACATAATATCGTACGGTCCTCAAGCTAAGATATCCTAGGAGTTAAAAAGCCCACATTAAACGAATTATAATAGAATTTACATTATATAACCCGGCGTTGTAAATGTATCTTACTACTAGTTCGTTATTGTAACGCCTTCAACGCTATTAAACTTGATTTACACAAAGTAATGCCTATTATGGTTCGTGTAATATGGGCTTTTTAACCTCCCCTCTTTTTAAATCATTCATTTTCCTTTAATCCGTAAATTTTACTCTTCATACTAGTTTTTATATTTATATATATATATATATATATATATATATATATATATATATATATATATATATATATATATATATATAGATAAATTTATGATTCCATTTAAGTATGGATTCCAATTACAAATTTATCATATTTTATTCAGTATAAAATCGAGAAAATAGCAAGTATTCTATATTATATAGAAAATTTAAAAGTAATATTATTTTATAAAAATAATAAGTATGTCACTTTAAATTATAATTACAGTAATAAATTTCAAAATTAAGTTAGATAAAAAGAAGTAAAGAGAATTAACTTCATCTAAATCATTAAACTTTAATCGTACTGTGACCTCTTAATGTTTTAAACAACTTATTAAGTACACATGCGCTTAATAAACTTATGCTGTTAGGTACGAGCGCGCGACTTTGGCGACCCGCCTCTGTCATCGACGGTACCTGTAACTATCTACGTACAGGATGTGAACGACCACGCGCCGCTGTTTCAACAGATGCTATACAAGCGGTCGATCCCGGAGGACATGCCTGGTGGTACCAGTGTGCTTGAGGTAATCATATTATTCATATATCTCAGAATTAATTTTAAGACTGAAAAAGGAGGTAATTCTTAATTAGATTGAGTTTTTTTTGTTCTGTACGATGCATGATATGACAGCTAATTCTGAAATAATAACGATTTGTGTGAACGATAAGTCTGACGTGTTGACTTCATATTCATTTTATCTCATTAAATTCGCTATTTTTACCAAGCAAAATCTATCTTATTAAAATAATAAAATTGTAACTAGACGATGTGTGTACATGGGAGATATTTAAGAATATATATATATATATATATATATATATATATATATATATATATATATATATATATATATATATATATATATATATAGATATAGATATATAGATATATATATTAGTTTTTAGTTTTTCTACTTCTAAAATTCATGCATACAAAGTAGCTTTTAAATTGCTAGTATAGAAAATTAATAATTTTACTACAAATTGATATACACACACCGGTAGAAGAAATTAATGGGTTACTATTGCATACCCAACTCTGACCAATAAAAATTTTACTTAATAATAAAAACAAGAATTCAGATCTTTTTGTGTGTATTTTACACGAAATATTTTATTTTCGTAAAAAAAAAAATATTTAATATATACAGTCATACTAATTGAGAGCTTAGTCCTCAGCTCTCAATACAATCTCACCTCAGATCCAGGAAACTTTAAATATTATTATTTTAAATTTAATTTTAATAATCGAACCTGGAACCTCATTCAAAGCAACGAGTTACTACTATACCAAGTAAGGCAGACATAAATACATAATAAATGTCGATATATATGATCAGGTGAAGGCCCGAGACGGTGATGGCTCGTCGCCAAACAACCGCGTGGTATACCGCATCCAGCGCGGCGCCGGCGACAAGTTCGTGATGGACGCCCGCTCCGGGGTACTGGCTGTCGCCAACGGTTCCACGCTCGACCCGGACAAGACCAACCCAAAGGTCAACCGGTACACCCTCACTGTGGTTAGTGCTTTTTTCATTCAAATAAATAGTATACAATTATAATTATTTATAATAAGTTTACTATTGTAATCTTTTGGAGGATCAATAAAGAGTATCTACCTATACAAATTGATATCAAAATCATTAGCGATATACAAAATTATGAAACTACCTATAATAAAAACATTAAGACAGTAATTTTGTAAATAAAAAATTAAAAAGCGGCAAAAAATGTTAAGCCTTCCCATACTTACTCAATAGAAGAACGCGCCATTAGTATGGGAAACCTAAAATGTTCTGTTAATTTTAGATTCATATTTTTTAGTAAAAATGTTCAGTTTCGTTGGTAGAACTCTCTCTTCAAAGGATGATAACAATTTCGATTTCACCCATATATTGAGACTAAAGCATCCGAAGCTCGAAGGATCAGTTACCAATATACCAGCCATATAACTCGAACAACGAATTTTCTTTAGTGACGACTCGACATACACTATTTAAATCGACTACATCAAATGTAGTATACGATATGTACGATACGGTATATACGATAGTAATATGGGGTCAGTAGATGCGGGTTGTTCAGGAGTGTTCCTGATGGAAAAAACTTGTATTTATCAGAAGACAATTATCACCTGACTTAATAATAATAGAGGACCTCTCATCAGTCTTTAGACATAGACAATTCTGCCACCTATATTCCATATCATGGTACTTTATTAACAGAACTTGAAAACAAAAACTAACAAAATTTCCGATTGAAATTTATTTAAAAAATTATTTAGTTTCCCTGTTAAAAGAACATTGACTGAAAAGATACTAAGGATTTTGATTTCACTTTAATGTATCTGCGTTTAGGTGGCGTTGGACGGCGGTATAGGAGATCAGCAGCTAAGTGCAGCTGTACTCGTCAACATCACCATAGTTGATGTGAACAACAAACCACCAGTTCTTGTCGAACCTGGCACCATTGTAGTCAAGGAAAATACACAGGTTTGATTTTTATAACATCCTTGGGATAGAATGGAAGGTAGTATATATATATCATTAAAACATCGAACCGTTGGTGTTTGCAATAGTTAATTTTAAACTTTCGCGTTGTTTACACATATTTTAAATACACAATCGGGACTTAACGGGATGTAAATAGTACCTACATACCATATGTGTAAACATATTTGTTATTTATATATATTTATTCGTTTATATATGTAATTTTAGTATGTATGTATATCAATAATTACTAGTACCGCATTCGAGTATTCTGACATTTCCCTATGGTTGACTGGGAGAGAATGCTTTTGTACACATATTTGTACTAATAAATAAATAAATACCTGCTTGTTAATTGCCGACGTTTACATTGCATTAAATCCCATTATGTATTTAAAATATAAGTAGGGTTTAAACTCGGACCTTCTACAAAATGGCGTAGATATGAACATATTAATTTATTTTCCTCAGTTCGAGTCAGTATTATTGTATTTTTTTAAACAGGTGGGTACAGAAATATATCGCGCCCAAGCATACGATCTGGATGAACAGCCGGTACTACGGTATGCGATTGACCGCAGCAGGTCAGTTAGCCCATCGTGACGAATTCAACAAGAATTGTTCACAATGGTTTTCAGGGGGAACCACGTGGAGGTCGAGCTAATAAGGTATATTGCTAGCAATGGGGCTGTCAAACTCCATTGCTAGTGTCGCGCGAGACGAAGACGGTATCATAGTACCGGTCACCGAGTACGATTACCTCTCGCTTTGGGATCTGAACTCCGTCGACGGCACATTAAGGGTTGTAAGGTAAGTAATTAAATCATCGAATGAAAACTCTTTGGAACAATAACAATAAAAAATTATTGAAGACCTATTCTGGAAAAAAAATATTTTTTTTAATCAATTTAGAATCAATTCAAATAAGCTTACGGCCCATCTGATGAAATATATTAATCTTTATTAACACATTGGCGTGAATTTACTGGGTACAGAGGAATAACACCTGAGTCCTCAGGAACGGCAACGCATGGGGATATCATGGGTGAAATAGTATACTCTGTTATGTCCATGGTACTGCTCATGTCTATAGGCGACGGTTACCACTTTCCATTAGGTGGGCCGTCAGCTTGTTTGCCATTCTAAGTTGTATACAAAAAAAAAACATACAGTCATGAACAATACTATAGAGATTACAAAATATACCTTTTATACCTTGCCATTTTTGTCCTTTTACACCTTAGTCCAGGTTTTATGCCTTTATACCCTGTAATTTCACTGCCATATTCTATTAAACCGAAACAGCTATGCAATAGAGATGCTTAGTAAGGAGACGATCTAAAAAAATATAAAAGGTCTCCCTCTGCTACAGTTAATAAAATATGTAAATTAAAAACAGCACTTCATGAAACAAGATATTAAAGCAACAATTTTACACACTTTTTTTATTTTTTTATACAACTTAGTATGGTAAACAAGCTGACGGCCCACATGATGGAAAGTGGTAACCGTCGCCTATAGACATAAGCAGTACCATGGACATAACAGAGTATACTGTTTCGCCCATGATACCCCCCATGCGTTGCCATTCCTGAGGACTCGGGTGTTATTCCTCTGTACCCAGTAAATTCACACCACATCCCACCCTTCAAACCGAAACAGCAGTCGGCTTGTACAAAGTCTCCCTCTGGTATAATCTATTATCGTGACTATTATCTTTCAGACTACTTGACAGAGAAAAAGTAGAGACAATAAAATTAGTGCTCACTGTCCAAGACATGGCAGCCATTGACGGTGGTCCCCAACAGACCGCCACAGGAACACTCACCATAATAGTGGAAGATGAGAACGACAATAATCCACGCTTCAGAAAATCCTTCTACAAGACCTCAATACCTGAGAATTCGAAGAACGGTGTCAATATCGTGACAGTGATAGCCGACGATGCAGACAAGAACCGAACTATGACGTATTTTGTGGAAGGTAATGTTGAAACTAATTATGCCTCACGGCTTTCTCTTTGACTGAGATAAAAGTAACCTATGTGTTTATATAGGATTGGTCCATCTGTGTACCAACTTTCATACAAAACCCTTTAACTTTTTAACATTTTGTCTGCTTTATAGCAGTTGCCATCCCTGTACCGTTTGACTCAAATTGGTAGCTATATATCGTACCTATTTATTTTTTAAATCTTTATTAATAGTACAAGTACTTGTAAGTACCATGTGGTCACGGCATAGAATAGGCTTTCCCTTTCCTTTCCTGTTCCGGTGTCGTAAGGGACGTTTGAGGGAACTTACTGGTCGAGGGATAGGTAGTAACTTCCCTTTTAAAATATCACCAAAAGCCTAACTGCGGTTGTCAACCCACCTGCTACCTTACAAACAATATGTTTTTGTTGCGTTTGACAACAAAAATGTTACTAGCTACTTAGAATTGAGTGCATAATTTGGTCTAATGTGCTCAATTTTCAGACTCGTTTTGTAGTACATATGTGGAGGCGTGTAGACGTGGGCTTGATGATATTTATATATAGATTCAGAAGGAGTGAGAGAAAGAAAGATTTAATACGAGATTGTATAATTAATAATATTTACAGTAAATAAATCCAGATGTAAAAAGTCGCGATACAAAATATAGTTCGGTAAAATTGCTAAGACAAGAAGATTGTCAAGAACGTCACTATTTATTTTTCTTGTAGGTTTGAAAGAGGTTGGTAGCCTATACATATTTTGTATATAAATCTGTTGTTTATATACAGGTCCTGAAGAGCTGTTAAAGTTAGTACACATGGAGAGTGGTACAGGGGAAGTGGTGGTCGCCAACAGAATAGATCACGAGGTGCATCCCTGGATAAACCTCACCGTGAAGGCGGTAGACAGCGGACTGCCACCGCGGTATTCCGTCGCTGAACTATTTATACAAGTATGTTCTAACTATATCTTAAACTAACTTGTGCCCATACCCATTAATTAAGGAACATAAGGAATGCAACTTTGAAAATCGCATTCAAATTGCTGTCATAGTTTTTGTGTGATGCCTGAACAAACAAACAGACAAACGAGCAAATGTTTTAAAAATTATTCATGTAATTTTTTCCTAATTATAACAGAGGGAGACTTATGAAACAACTGTACAAAAAATCGATTGTTATAACTGGTCTTAACCTAAAGCTGAATCCCATTCGTGTTTCAACCGTGAAGCAGTTGTGTTTGCATGGCTGTGTTTCATCGCTTTGAAGGGTCTGGGATGTGGCGTGAATTTACTGGGTCATCTCTTTCTTAATACAAATTAAAAGGAATAACATGTCCTGAGACCTTCAGGAATGGCAACGCATGGGGGTATCATGGGCGAAACAATATACTCTGTTATGTCCATGGTACTGCTCATGTCTATAGGCGACGGAAAATTACCAAAACTTTCCATCAGGTTTTGTACTTGGCCGTCAGCTTGTTTTATTCTAAATTGTATAAAAAATGTACAAACATCGTTTCGATTCCCATAAATATTCATTGTGTATAGAATGTGCATAACGTTTAAAAATAATACCGTTTAGGTATTGGACGAAAATGACAATAACCCGATATTTGAATCGTCGTCGTTCGAGTACCGGGTGCGTGAGGACGTGGAGCCGGGCACCGTCGTGACCCAGGTGCTCGCCAACGACGCCGACTCGGGCGAATATGGCACCGTCACATACTTGCTCGACCGTATGTCTACGCAGGTACCATCCTAAAACGTAAATTCTAATAATAATGAACCCACCTTTACTAACCAGTTTGTAAACCACCAGCGGGTCTACCATGAAATGAAACTCCGAATTTTCAGACTCAATTTCGTGTTTTTGTTTATACCAAAATCGGATCAATAAATTGTGTTTTACATTTCGTTCGTCATACATCCTATCATAAAAGTCCAAAGGAACGATATTTTAACATTTTTAATATTTCCAAACGGCATGTATTATGTAATTTTAACATCAAATTTGTGTTTCGTTTGGCTCCGATATTTTGGAAAACATTTCATGGTAGGCAGAGGGCCTACATTTTACCTTTTTACAAGTGCAATAAACAATATTAATCTTTTATTAAGATATTCGTTTACATTGTCCGACACTGTGTAAATTTAGAATATAAACTTTAGAAAAATAGAATTATAGAATAAAGTTTATATATATATATATATATATATATATATATATATATATATATATATATATATATATATATATATATCGTCTTCTAGACTTTTCTGTTTCTTGTTTTTTTTTTTTTTTTATTTCAAATTATTTCATAATCCAGGGCAAGTTTTTAATAAACGCTGAGAGTGGCGCCTTGACAGTATCCGACTGGTTGGACCGGGAAACCCAAACCACGTACAATCTAGTTGTAGAAGCATGGGATAACTACCAGTTCGGTTACCTCAGCGGCGAGAGCCGGAACGCGTTCAAGCAGATTGTGTAAGTTGAATTTGTTAAAATATTTTTATACAACTTAGTTTATAGTTTTAGAAACAGTGCAGTAAAATTTTTTTTAAGAGAAGGTTTTAAGCGATTGGTCTGTTATTTCTATATTATGTAGTCAAAATTTTAACATATCTATCGATGCTTAATATATTTACTTGAGATTTACTCGAGCAAATTTCACGCTGGAATAGTTATAAGGAATAGCACACAAAGTTGCTTGCGAGAAATACCTAACACCCTATTTAAGAACTATGTAATGGCAAACAAATCGACGGCCAACTGATGAAAAGTGGTAACCTCGCTTAAAGATAGGTAAGAATAGCACCATGGACATTACAGAGATATTTTGTTTGCGACTGTGACGCCCATGGTTCATTACTACACGTTAGGACTATATTATGCCTCCATACTTTGTAATTTTACTATATTATTGTCAATATTCAGGAATACTTAATATACTTACGATATAGGGAATATTGTACCCGCATAGAATGTTCCTTTATTGTCGTAAAACAACTAAGTTAACAAAAGCCAGAGTCCCTTTAAATACTGCGGTTATCAATCCACCTGCCAAGTGTAGCAACTACTGGCAAAAGCACCTGATAAGCAGAGGCCTATGTTCAGCAGTGGACAGTTAACGGTTTTTTTTTTTGATAGGTGAAAATGAAATGGTAACACCGCCTGCGCTAACGGTATACGCTAGCGGGGCACCAGTGAAGGGTGATCGATGAAAATGAAAACAGGCCAGTTAGCCGATCATGATGAATTCATCAGGAATTAACCATGATAGTTTCCAGTGGGAACCGCGAGGTGGTGGACCTGGTTAGGTATATTGCTAGCAATGGAGTTCTCAGTCTCCATTACTAACAATCCCTTTCCCCCCGACAGTTAACGGTTGATGATAGGGAATATCAGTAAAATATAAATAAGTAATAAATAATGTAACGTTCCCATCAGCGTTCACGTAGAGGACGTAAACGACAACCCCCCAATATTGCACATCCCGGAGGAATGCACGACGATCACAGAGTTCCACAATCACCGTGAGCCGATAGTGGCCATATCGGCGACCGACGCGGACGACAGCACGTCGCCGAATGGACGCGTACAGTTCCACTTGGTCGGCGGGAAGGGGCATGGTCAGTATTTATTTTTAATATATATGTCACGTATTATATAACACCTAAGAGTGAATATTTCATCCCAACCATCTGGACGAGTGGCGGTCCTCCACCATGCGTTTTTCAAAGCTTTTTTTTATCAACTTCCAGCAGCAGTACGGCCCACCTGATGGACAACATAACCTTCAAAAATGAGCAGTATGGGCATTCCCTTTTAAAAGACATGGTACCCCTGCGGGTATCATGAGGACTCAGGTGATGCGACTACCTGTACTCAGTTTCCCCTGTAATACATTCACATAAAAGAATAAACCTTTTTTATATATGTTACTTGCCTGTAATGGATGGAAATGGAATGGGCTACCCACTTCCTTTCCTGTTAGAGATGATCGTAAAAAGAGGCCATTGTGATGAATTAAGAGAATTTAACGATGGTTTCAAGAGAAACCGGGCAGAGTCCCTCTTAAATACTTTAACAAAGTCTAAATAGGGTTGCCAACCCCGCCTGCGCAACGTGGCAACGCTGGCGGAACCCCATGGGAGGGCCTGATGTTCAGCAGTGGATAGTTAACGGATGATATAGTAAAAAAAAATTTTATTGCTTTCTCGTTTTTTTTTTTTATACAACTTAGAATAGCAAACAAGCTGACGGCCCACCTGATGGTAAGTGGTAACCGTCGCCTATAGACATGAGCAGTACCATGGATATAACAAAGTATACCGTGTTAGCCCATGATACCCCCCATGCATTACCGTTTCTGAGGACGCGGGTGTTATTCCTCTGTACCCAGTAAATTCACGCCTTTAATACATTCACATACAAAGATCAAACCTATTTGAAGTATATAACACATGTTTACAATTTTGTAATGGATGGAAATGGAATGGTAACCCCATCTGCACGATCTGTAACCGCTAGCGTGGCACTAGTTAGAGATGATAGACGAGGATAAAAACAGGTCCATGGTGATGAATTAAATAGGAATTAGCCACGATGATTTCCAAGAGAAACCGCGTGAAGGTCGCTCTGATATAGTATATTAATAACAAGGTGTCTGTTAAACTCTATTTTTTATGGGTGTAAATAGAATGGTAACCCCGCCTGCGCTAACGGGATACGCTGGCGGAGCACCAGTGAAGGGTGATAGATGAGAACGAAAACAAGCCAGTTAGCCCATCATGATGAAGTTATGAGGAATTAACCATGATAGTTTCCAGGGATTGTCTCCGTTACTAACAATCCCTTTCCCACCTGTTAAATCCTATTACTAAGAATCCTTTTCCCCACATATCTACAGTTAAGTCACTGGACAGCAAATGAGTGAATCTATATTTAGAAATATGTGAGATAGTATAAATGTAATTCAAAATCACGTTCTGCATCCGCGCCACATTCATTTTACATCATACATATTGTACATATCATACACTTCTGCTGAGTAACATACTGTGGCATCAACAGAACTGTTTAGGTTCGAGCAAATGGGCGGCGACGCGAACACCGGCCGCTTGTACGCGCGGCAGTCGCTGCAGGACCGCTTCGGGAACTACTCGCTGCAGGTGGAGGCGCGTGACCTGGGCTCGCCGCCGCACGCCGCCCGCGGCACGCTGCGGCTCTGCGTCACCGACTACAACGACCACGCGCCCGTCTTCGTGCACCCGCCGCAAAACGTCACTATAAAAGTGCCTGAGGTAATTGATTGTTGTTCGTGTCGTTTTGTTTTTGTGATGCTTATCGCTACCTAATGGAAAGTACTAATCGTCGCCTATAGATATAGTAGAGTATTCTGTAATGTCCATGGCGTCGTACATGACTTTTTAAATTTCCGTGAACCGCATGATAAATCGTACTAAAATCGTGATTGTACATTTATCAGTACTTTAATATATTTTGCTATCCTATTGACGACAGAAATGTACGTTATTATGTCGTGCTACGGTATACTAAAGAAGTGTCCAATGAATCAGGTAATATCCGCAATCAGGATAGTAATTGGTTGTTATAGAACGCGACGGTAGGAACGACGGTGGTGGAGGTGCGAGCGATCGACGCGGACACCACACCAACGGCGCCGTGCGAGGTACCGCGTGCGGCCACAGCCACCACACACGGCGACTGGCGCGACTTCACACACCACCACGCCGCCGCCGCGCCGCCACATGCCACCACACACCGCGCGCGCGCTCGACCGCGACCGACAGCGCGCCTACCAGGTACCACGCACCGCCACACGCCACCACACGCCACCGACCGCGCCTACCAGGTACCACGCACCGCCACACGCCACCACACACCACCGACCGCGCCTACCAGGTACCACGCGCCGCCACACGCCACCACACGCCACCGACCGCGCCTACCAGGTACCACGCGCCGCCACACGCCACCACACGCCACCGACCGCGCCTACCAGGTACCACGCGCCGCCACACGCCACCACACATCCACCGACCGCCCTACCGACCGCGCCACCACACGCCACCACCGCGCCTACCAGGTACCACGCGCCGCCACACGCCACCACACACCACCGACCGCGCCTACCACGCACCGCCACACGCCACCACACGCCACCGACCGCGCCTACCAGGTACCACGCGCCGCCACACGCCACCACACACCCCCTACCGCGCCTACCAGGTACCACGCGCAGCCACCTGCCACCACACGCCACCACACACCACCGACCGCGCCTACCAGGTACCACGCGCCGCCACACGCCACCGACCGCGCCTACCAGGTACCACGCGCCGCCACACGCCACCACACACCACCGACCGCGCCTACCAGGTACCACGCGCCGCCACACGCCACCACACACCACCGACCGCGCCTACCAGGTACCACGCACCGCCACACGCCACCACACACCACCGACCGCGCCTACCAGGTACCACGCGCCGCCACACACACCACCACACACCACCGCCGCGCCTACACCACGCCCGCCACCGACCGCGCCTACCAGGTACCACGCGCCGCCACCCACCACACACCACCGCCACCACACGCCACCGACCGCGCCTACCAGGTACCACGCGCCGCCACACGCCACCACACACCACCGACCGCGCCTACCAGGTACCACGCACCGCCACACGCCACTACACACCACCACACACCACCGACCGCGCCTACCAGGTACCACACGCCACCACACGCCACCGACCGCGCCTACCAGGTACTGCCACCACACACCACCACACACCACCGACCGCGCCTACCACCACGCGCCGCCACACGCCACCACACACCACCGACCGCGCCTACCAGGTACCACGCGCCGCCACACGCCACCACACACCACCGACCGCGCCTACCAGGTACCACGCGCCGCCACACGCCACCACACACCACCGACCGCGCCTACCACACACCACGCACCACGCACACACGCCACCACACACCACCGACCGCGCCTACACGGTACGACGCGCGTCAACATGCCACCACACCCCACCACACACCACCACACACCACCGACCGCGCCTACCAGGTACCACGCGCCGCCACACGCCACCACACACCACCGACCGCGCCTACCACCACGCGCCGCCACACGCCACACACACACCGACCGCGCCTACCAGGTACCACGCGCCGCCACACGCCACCACACACCACCGACCGCGCCTACCAGGTACCACGCGCCGCCACACGCCACCACACACCACCGACCGCGCCTACCAGGTACCACGCGCCGCCACACGCCACCACACACCACCGACCGCGCCTACCAGGTACCACGCGCCGCCACACGCCACCACACGCCACCGACCGACCGCGCCTACCAGGTACCACGCGCCGCCACATGCCACCACACACCACCACACACCACCGACCGCGCCTACCAGGTACCACGCGCCGCCACACGCCACCACACACCACCGACCGCGCCTACCAGGTACCACGCGCCGCCACATGCCACCACACACCACCGACCGCGCCTACCAGGTACCACGCGCCGCCACACGCCACCACACACCACCGACCGCGCCTACCAGGTACCACGCGCCGCCACATGCCACCACACACCACCACACACCACCGACCGCGCCTACCAGATACCACGCGCCGCCGCACGCCTACCGACCGCGCCTACCAGGTACCACGCACCGCCACACGCCACCACACGCCACCGACCGCGCCTACCAGGTACCACGCACCGCCACACGCCACCACACGCCACCGACCGCGCCTACCAGGTACCACGCGCACGCCACCGACCGCGCCTACCAGGTACCACGCGCCGCCACACGCCACCACACGCCACCGACCGCGCCTACCAGGTACCACGCGCCGCCACACGCCACCACACACCACCGACCGCGCCTACCAGGTACCACGCGCCGCCACACGCCACCACACACCACCGACCGCGCCTACCAGGTACCACGCGCCGCCACACGCCACCACACACCACCACACACCACCGACCGCGCCTACCAGGTACCACGCGGCGCCACTCGCCACCACACACCTCCGACCGCGCCTACCAGGTACCACGCACCGCCACACGCCACCACACACCACCAACCGCGCCTACCAGGTACCACGCACCGCCACATGCCACCACACGCCACCACATACCACCGACCGACCGCGCCTACCAGGTACCACGCACCGCCACACGCCACCACACACCACCGACCGCGCCTACCAGGTACCACGCGCCGCCACATGCCACCACACACCACCGACCGCGCCTACCAGGTACCACGCACCGCCACACGCCACCACACACCACCACACACCACCGACCGCGCCTACCAGGTACCACGCACCGCCACACGCCACCACACACCACCACACACCACCGACCGCGCCTACCAGGTACCACGCACCGCCACATGCCACCACACACCACCACACACCACCGACCGCGCCTACCAGGTACCACGCACCGCCACACGCCACCACACACCACCGACCGCGCCTACCAGGTACCACGCGCCGCCACACGCCACCACACACCACCGACCGCGCCTACCAGGTACCACGCACCGCCACACGCCACCACACACCACCGACCGCGCCTACCAGGTACCACGCACCGCCACACGCCACCACACACCACCGACCGCGCCTACCAGGTACCACGCACCGCCACACGCCACCACACACCACCAACCGCGCCTACCAGGTACGCCACACCACCGACGGCACGTCTACCAGGTACCGCGACAGGCCGCACCACGCCGCATCCGGCCGCGACTACCATACAGCTCACTGCCCCACACGTCCACAAATATTTAGAATCTTTGCTAAATTCATCTATAATACGTAATTTAATCGACAGTTTTTAGCAAAACAACTTGATCGACGTGGTAAAAACCTGGAAACCGTGGAACTTAAAAGTAGCGTATTTTCATGTAATATGGATACGATAGGGTAACTTAAAATTTGTAAATTTTTTCTTTAAAATTTGTCTCTCAATGAAAAGGCAGACAAGAAGGTAAGTTCGGTACATATATGTATAAAAATAAAATTAACAAAAATATGTGTCGTGACTTATAAAGGTAACGAAGTTCTCGTAATTGTCAGTCGTAATTCCAGACCTATCAATCTAATTTATATGTATTTCCACAGCTAAGAATCGAAGCGTACGACCTCGGCCTCCCTACACCGCTCAGCTCGGACTTGGATCTCACGATATATGTGCAAAATGTGGACAGTTACCGTCCGCGGTTCCCACACAAACATTTCTACGTAAACATCACAGAGAACGCACCAGAGTTTGAGGTTTTTCTACCAAGTGTTATTGAAAGAGACGAGATAGATAGAGGCGACGAACCAGTACTGCCCGTGTGTTTTTTTATTGTGGAAGGAAATGAGGACGGAGTTTTTGAACTACATAGAAATACACATAAGTGAGTACCATTTCAAATACTTCAAGATATACTCACATTTCAGGCAACATATTCTAAATTACATTAATTAATTTAATTTGAAATATTTGTCTTCAACTAAAGATGTGAATTTCCATGGACATGAATGAATTAATATTATTATATATACTTGTAATTTTTTCTATTTCATATTGTTTTTAAAGAACTAGTAGCTGATCCTGGCATCGCATGGTTTTTTAAATTAAATTATTCGCTGATAATAAAAATAAATAGTCATTTATAAGTAAAAAAATTTAGAAATTTGGTTAAGTAGTTTTTGAATTTATTCATTATAAAGAAACATCCACACACACCAGAAAATCAATTCTTTCCTCTTTATAATATTAGCTTAGTTTACTAACTTTACAATGTATTTAGTGATTCAAGGTTCTCAAATCAATTGTGTTTTTTGTCAAAAAAAATCTAACTTCAAAACACCTATTACAGATTATCAACAATCAAACCCCTAGACCGAGAGCAAAAAAAGGAATACAATCTCACAGTGTTAGCGACTGAGGATTGTATCGCAACTCCAAACTATCAAAGTGACGTGGACGCGGTCAGTACGCTGAGGGTTAATGTGACAGTGAATGACGTCAACGATAACCCTCCAAAGTTCACCAGGAAAATATTCACGGGCGGTGTGACGACTGAAGCTGATTTTGGTATCGAGTTTATGTATGTTAAGGTAAGTTTAAGTATCACTACAAATCAATGTAATACCAGCAAACGATAGTATTTATTATTTTTAAGTTTAAGATCGCAAGTACAGTACTTATTTAAATCACAATGTATGTTTAGATCTAATCTTACAACCTGAATGAGAACTAGTTTTTCCTAACCGATTTTGTTAAAATTTTGCTACACCTTCAGTTCTAGTAACAATACAATATGTAATGCTCAATATTGTTGCAAAATGGCCGCCGCCATAATGGCGGATGGTGTATATTTTGTCAACCCTATATATAGGTGTCAAATATTTTTTATTTGATACCCATATTAACTAGGCAACTTACGAATAAAAAATTAAGTAACAATAAAATAAATGGTAAGTAATAATAATAATAAGCAACAATATAATAACATTAAAATGTCCGCAGCCACAAAATGGCAAGATTACATTATAAACATAAATCAACCAAAACATAACCCCCCTGTACTATTTTTTTTTTATGGATGAGAACGAAATTATAATACTGATAATGAAAGTGAGGATAAAACCACGTTAATTGGCTTATCATTAGGAATCCATTAAGAATTAACCACTAGTTTCCAGGTGGAACCAAGTGAAGATTGACCCATTGGGCCCACTATTCCCCGTTACTAACAATCTCCCTACCCTAACTGGGTTGGTATATTTATTATATTCTCCTGTTTAGGCGACAGACAAAGATGACGGTGACAATGCTAAAATAAGCTACTACCTTATTGGCGATGTGAAGGAAACGCTAACGGAAGGGCTTGAGAACTTGGCTGTGTCGCCGTTCCTCGTCAACGTTGATACCGGCGCTATATCATTGAATTTCGACCCGCAAAAGGGCATGAAAGGATATTTCGATTTCAAGGTATGTTCACATATGAGTAATAAAAATACTATTAAACTATTAATTTTTGACATTATTGAATTTAAATAATTATGTTCCACATAAAAATCAACTCTAGTTGTGACAAAATCAATTATTATTTAATTAATTAATGATTTAAAAACTATTAAACCGATTTTGATAAAATTTCTATGGAACCAATCGTTAAGTATGTCCTTTTAGATAAAAAAAATTTCAAATCGGTATCTAAACAACTGACGGAGTTATGTGTTACCAAACATAAAAAAAATACGACAAAATTAAGAAGCTCCTTCTTTGAAAAGTCAATTAAAATTTTTTTATCTTTTCAATCCGTTTTTAAACTACAATGTTACGCACATACAGATGAAGATTTTCCTGTCTTATTACCATCCCTTATCACGTCTATTTTTACATCCTATTAAAAGTAAAAATTAAAAGAACTCCAAATTTAATGAAATCTGGTGCAAAAATAAGTACGACAATTAAAGGTTTCGACTAACTACTTAATAAAAATCTTTCAAGAGATAAGTAGTTTGCTATTTTACTTTTTTTTAATGGATGATAATGGAATGGTAATCCCGCCTGTGCTAACGATATACGCTGGCAGGGCACCAATAAGGGATGATAGGTGACGATGAAAGCAGATCAGTTAGCCCATTGTGATGAATTCCACAATAGAATTAACTACAATGGTTTCCAGGGGAATCGCGTGGAGGTCGACCTGATAGGGTGTATTGCTAGCAATAGGTTCATTACACCCCATTATTAACAATCCCTTTCCCCCCTGCTATCTTACTTATATGTAATTCAAATATGAGTTAATGAAATATGGGTTTTTCAAATGTTACACCATATATACATAGGATTAAAAGTTAAAACATGAAATAAATTTCTCCAAAATCCAAAGAATAAAAAATTTGTAAATAAAAATATTAACAAAGTTTCGACCAAAAAATATAACAAATAAAATCTGGACGGACCTCTACTGAAGATGTTTCCTCACAAACACAAACAGAGCACCAGGACTATATATTTATATAATAACACACATTAAAAAGTTTGAGGAGCGTCCCATGTTAACGTAGTCAATCTATACAATAATACAAAACATGTTTATTTCTAACTACGTAAAGTTATAATATATAACCATCAGGTACTAGCCAACGACACGGGCGGTCTTCACGACGAAGCGCATGTATTCATATACCTACTCCGCGAGGACCAGAGAGTACGGTTCGTACTACGCTCACATCCGTCCGAAATCCGCGAGAGGATACACGTGTTCCGTGATAAGCTAGCCCGCGTCACCTCATCCGTAGTCAATATAGACGATATGAGAGTCCACGAGAATAAAGACGGATCAGTGGATAATACGAAAACAGACTTGTATTTGCACTTGGTGAATGGGGAAGACCATTCAGTTTTAGAAGTGGAACAAGTATTGAAGATAGTTGACAAGAATATTGAACAACTCGATGATCTGTTCAAGGTAAGTGGAAAGAGAAATGCATTTACAGAGTATGGGCGTATAACATCTTAGCCCTTAGAATGGCAACTCGTGATGGGTACAATGGGTGTCATGTATTTCGTGATGTCCATGCCTCTACACAACGATTATAACTAATGCAATGCAAATGCAAAAATGAAACAAAGGTTAACAGCAATATAAATACAACTAAAAACAGGCATACACCAGTTCACAGTCTATTCCATTACCTGCCGTGCACATACGATAACGCAACGCACATTACTTCAGAAAGGCTGCACTTTATATTTTGCTAAATCTCCTTTTATTGTCTTTGTAATTGAAAAAATTAGGTTGATATATCTTTAAAAAAAAAGTGAGTAAGCGAATGAACTAGAAAAATTTTTATTTAAAGTAGTTTTCCAAAATCTTGACCCCTTAAAAAAGATATATCTCTCATTCTCTCTCAAAAAAAACTGCGCAGAGATGTTGCATCTCTGTGCATCTTCTAGAGGATCATGTTTCTGGAGCATTGATACCTGCTTATTTTCACCACCGTACAACCCGCCACAAACTAGTTTCATCCCAATCATCTGGACGAGTGGCGGTCTTCCACCATGCGTTTTTCAAGGCACTTTCTTCCACGCACAACCATTCTTTGGAATCAACTTCCAGCAGCAGTATTTCCCAACCGATACGACAACATAACCTTCAAGTCTCTCATTCTCTCTCAGATCAGGTGATGACTCTTTATAATGTGTTGTAAAAAAAAACTCTTTATAATGCTCGGATCTTGAGGTGGGTACTAGATAATTCTGGGATGGGAACGGTCTACCTATCTCCCTCCTTAAATACGCGTATAGTTGGGAGATCTTCAAAAATATTGACTTGAATTGATAAGATGTCTTATTTTATTCATTACATCTATGCGAAGCCGGGACGGATAGCTCTAGTAGTTAATATAAAATATACCATAGATAGAGCGACAAGTTACTTTTTCTACAGGAATTCAACGTTCTCGACACACAACCAGCGGAGTACCAACCTCTTACCGCGGAGACGCTGTCGTCGAATCAGACTGTGTTTTGGCTGGTGTGGACAACGCTGTTCCTCGCTGTGCTCCTAGTGCTCTCAGTGATGATGTGCCTGTCGCAACGGGCGGATTATATCCGAAGACTGAAGGCTGCTACAGCCACTGCGTATTGTAAGTACAGGGATAACCGTATTTTTAAGCGACTTCAAATATGTGTGTTGGTTTTAATAATTTTTTAAATATATGTATATTCAGGATGTTAAAATTGTAAAATAGAACAGATGGATATTCACAGAATATTAATTTCAACGAATACTATCATTAGATATTTATCTATTTAAACTTAAATGCACAATTATATAAGACAGACTTAACACCTAATGGCGTTCTTTACCAGTCAACCACGAGGTAAGCAAAAAATTAAGTAGGCGGTAATTGTAGTAGTAATTACTTATGATGAATTACTTACAATGCGCATACAACATGTATATGTTGTATGCGCATTGTATACCTATATAACGCTAAGCGATATATAGTACATCGATATTATATCGATATATCCGATAGTGTACGCTCATGTATTACGTAACGAAATTTTTGAAAAATTTTGAGCCTCCCATAGCGCGCCCTAATATTTTTCTGTATTTCCCCCTCCTCCCTAAACGTTATGTAACACCCAATTGACCATTTTTACTTAAAAGTCATAACACAAACGAATACTGATAACGAAAACAAAATATGTACAAATGACGTACAACAATAAAACATAAACGAAAAGGGTTCCCAAATTGGGAGATTTTAGTTCCCTAGTTTGTTATATATATTTATATTTAAAAAATTACGTAATTTTTTTTATTTCTTACCCTTTTTATTTCTTACCCCGTCCCGTCCAGTAACGTATCGTAACGTTTTTGCGTTACGTAATATTTGTATGCTCCCATAAGTGTATTCTACCACAACAACATACCAACTGCTGAGCATAACTCCTTACACTGTCAGGGTTACCACGCTGACCAGACGGTTTGGTATACGGTTATATCTCGAGTTTTCCTTCTGTTGCTCTAATATATCGCGCTTTATTCCTTACCTCTTAAGAGTCTTACGGCTTCCTAAATGGAAAGTGACATTTTTGTTTAATTACATCACCAAATTTTTTCTTTATTCTATAGCTTCGCCAACACCAGGCGAGTCCGACATGACGATCCGCAGCTCCGGAGGTAGAGTTCCGAATACAAATAAACATAGCACGAAGGGATCCAATCCTATCTGGCTCCACGCATACGAGAACGACTGGTATAAATCCGACGACCAGCTGAGTCACTCTGAACGGGACTCGTTGGACGAAAACGCAGTAGACCAAGACATATCCAACGAGAAACCGTACTTCATCACGACCGGCGCATTCCCGTCCATAGATTCCAATGAAACCGAACCACAGAGTAACCAAGCCAAATACGATTTTTATCAGCAATTAGAACAAATGAAGAATGCGAAAAATATGGAAACAACCGAACTGTAATGTTAGCTATATAATGTGCCTTTGTAATATATGTACCTAATATACAGCCCGTCAACTTCGAACCCAACACTCCCGAGACATACAAGCGACAAAGACTGGATCTAAATACGCATTTATCTAAATACATAATAATGTAGTGATACTACTTTTACGATAATAAGTACATCTGTCAACCCACCAAGCCGCCAAATACGAAGTTGACGAACTGTACTTAATCATTGTGCAACAGAGTTAAAATGAAAGAATGCTCTATTAGCTATTTATTAATAATTCAAACGTGATAAAAATAAGTTTATACTAATACAGATGTTTTATTTATACAACAGCCAGTGGCGTTGGTGCCAAGATTGGCTTTTGTATTGCGAATAAAGTTTGACTGAAGCGGAATTAGAATATTTTTATAGTGTTACGCTCACCGCAATGGTAAATATCTATTAATGGTTTCTCACTATATATGATCACTATTTTATACCAGTGATAGGAAACAACACATCGTCACATCATCATCATCACCAGAGGGAGACTTTGTACAAAAGTCGATTGCTTGGGTACCTCTGTCCCAATAGTGTTTCAACCGTGAAGTAGCTGTAGTAGCATGGCTGTATTTCGGTTTGAATAACACCTGAGTCCTCAGGAATGGCAACGCATGGGGGGTATCATGAGCGAAACAGTATACTCTGTTATGTCCATGGTACTGCTCATGTCTATAGGCGACGGTTACCACTTTCCATCAGGTGGGTCGTCAGCTTGTTTGCCATTCTAAGTTGTATAAAAAAAAGTCTTTCTTAAACAGTATATATTTTATCTCATCAATTATCCAAGACCTGTAGCATACAGTCAGACATCCAAGCTGTCGTAAAACAAACAAGGAAAACGTTAAGATTTGTTACGGACAGCTGTCGCTTGTCAACATTATCCTTGATTTCTATTTTTGTACAGTCGTGTCTGTTTAACGCTGTTTCGATGATCATTTTAACAGGTAACCCTTTGAAATCATCACACTCAAATACCGTAAATAAAAACCTAAACAAATTCTACGATAATTTATATTAAATACGACTTTTATACCAGGGTTAACTAGTGAATCAATAATTATTATGTAATTTTACGTTTTAAACCAATTGTTTAAAATAAAAATAAAAAAATTAATATGCTTTCACTTTTTGATCATATTATGCAAACCCAATAAGTTATTTATTTCATACAGATCTATTCAACATATTGATTATTAATGTACAGCATGATGTAAAATTGAACAATGAAATATTCGAAGAGGCAAAATCAATATAAAACTAACACGGGATATATATTAATTTTGTAAACCCTTCTTTCACAATGAGCAAAACTATACATATGAAATAACATTTAGATAAATAAAAAATACCTTTCCACGAGTGCGTTAGTCTAATAATGTCATTATGTTTAAAATCAGCTCATCGTGTGAGTAATACAAATATAGGTAAGTTACAACTGCATCAACAGTTAACACTAACGACAAGTTTACTTTCATTATTGACTTAACGATAACACTGCAATATAGCGTAGTTCACACAATCACATCAATCACCTGGATCTAAAGCTAGGATACCGTGTTATGAAGAACCAGAGAACTAACATTTGGAGGGACAATGGAACATAGTTTCCTAAAATTGGCTCAACCAGCACCGAATTCTTTAGCTAATTTATACAAAGCAACGTGCACCCCACTGCGCTACGGAGGTCGTCACTATCAATAAAATGTATGAATCGGGGAAAGGAAGTTGTTAGTAATAGGTTCTAACAAAGCCCCATTGCTAGCAATATACCCTCTATCAAACCGACTTCCACACCGTTTCCCTTGGAAACCATCGTGTTTAATTCTTGTCGTATTCTTCATAATGGACCGATTGATCTACCTTCATCCTCGTCTATCATATATCATCAGGCGGGGCTACCATTGCATTTTTACCGATTTAAAAAATATGAATCATAAGTGAAACCACCTAACACGGTAACACAGAAACATTTTAAGACATAAAAAGAAAACGGGTCTCTAGATTAACAAACATGCCAGGTCATTCGTGAAAACTTTACCGATTGTATATTTATATACTATACCTACTATTATTATTTGTAATGGATAAATTCAAAAACTCAGTTGAGTAGTTTTAAAAATTCTTGTATCTATAAACAGCAACATTATCAGCGAATAACAGAGGCTTATTTTAATCTTTTATTTTAAAATTTTATCTACCCGTGTATGTAATCCCTTGTAGAGTAGGTAATCAGTTTAAACATTGTGTGGTGAACGTTAATTTACATGCCCACATATTATTTTTTAGTAATGGATTCCAAACAGTGGGGAGTGTAGTCCCGACATAGAATAGGCAGCAGCGTTCTTTTTAAAACATCTCTAAAGCCTAATTGCGGTTGCCAATCCGCCTGGCAAGTGTGGCAACTACTGGCAAAATCCCCTAAGAGGGAGGCTTATGTTCTGTAGTAGACAGTTAAAGGCTGATATGATGACGACGAAGAATGGACTCTAAATGATCCATTACTAGCAATATATCCATTTTCAGGTCTACCTCTACGCGGTCCCTTACCTTGAAACCATCATGGTAAATTCCTGGTGAATGTAACGATCTAATGAATAATCATGATCGCACAATTGACCTAATTTCATCCCACCTCTCATAACTCACTGGTACCCCGCCAGCATAAATTGATAGCGAATAGGGGGTTTGCCATTCCATTTATAATATGTATCACTCATTGAAGTGAGCAATAAAGTTTTCCTTCATTCATCTATTTGCATCCTAAGTGGTAAGGGCGAGCCTAATCGAGCAAGTTTCCATTAATGTAAATACCTATATCCACAGTGGATTTGTTATCGAAAATCCTCTCAACTTCACATATCGTTATTGTCATAATCATAAAACTATTAATAGCATAGTATAGGCTTAGAAATAGTAATTATAGATAAAAAAATAAAAAAACTACAATTGTGACAAAACCATATTGATCTACGAGTAAAAACGAAACTAATAAACGGATTTTGATAAAATTTCTATAAGACTAATCTGTAAGTATATTATTTCAGATAAAAAAAAGTTCATATCGGTTTAGAACTGACGGAGTTATGAGGAAACAAACAAAAAACTTAATTAAAACGTAACTTTTTTTTAAGTTGGTTAAAAAATAGGTTAGATTTTAATCAGCATGTTGCACATAGCGTAAGCACAAATAAAATTACCGACATTACTAGCGTATAAATATAGATTTTGAGAACTCGACCCAAATTAACGGCATTCTTTCTACACTAACACTAAAATTAATACTAGTGTAAGTTTACGGTAAGCATTCATTTATAATGTTAGTGCTAATTGGTGGTTTGTATTCACACAATATAACTTAAAAATGTAAAATAATAATAAAATTATTTAAAAGAGCATCACGCAAGTTTCTTGCTCGTTCTTCTTGTGATGAGACAAAAGCTTTCCGAACTTGTTTGCTTTGTTTTGTAAATAAAAAAATAAATATGTAATGACTTTTCAAAAAATAGTGCTTGAATGTAAGTTTATTTGAATAAATGATTTTCTATTCTATTCTATTCTAAATGCCAATATACAAATTTAATGCACAAAATTCACGATTAAAACAAAGTTTTATCAAATAACAAATAGCGATTACTTTGTTTGTGCGAATGCCTAACAATCACCCAAATTACATTGCATTCATATACGGTAGTACTGGCGCCATCTAGTGATAAAAGGATTAAAATATAACCAACTTGTTTGCTTTGTTTTGTAAATATTTGAATATAATAAATATATGTAAAATAATTTAGAAAAATAGTATGAATATAAAGCTATTATACATTTTAGTAACTGACAATAACAAGCGTCGACAGACAGACGCCGAACAGTCACCAGTTGGTTTTTGCTATTTCGGTAATTCTTGAAACTGAAATGCTAACTGTACCTATATTATAAATTCAGATAAAAATTATAAAGAATTTTAACCAACGTTAATGTGGCAATTTAGGTTTAATTTATAATTTTAACTGTCATACTTTTATATCGCAAATACAAAGAACGATGGATGTGGATGGAAAGTGGTAACTGTCGCCTATAGAAAAACACAGCATGCTTGCTGTGATAAAAAAACAAAACACTAACCATGCAAATACAACTGCATGATTGGGAGACGGGTACCCACCCATGCAGACAGATTTTAGTCTCCTTTTATTTGTTTTAATTTAAAACGTATAGATTAAATTCTGTACAAGACATTTACAATAAATAAGGAACTTTTGTTTGTGTTAGTCATATAAAAACAATGCAATCCTTTGAAGATTTGAGTGATTGTTAAATGATTTTTGCAAATACATACAACGTTTTGCAGCGATATGATTCTTATGGTGAATGGGCCCTAAACTATCAGAAAACAATCGCTGTCACCGAACCGGCCAATTGCTTCTAATCGCAGTGGAATCTGCTTGTCGTCTACCTGTAACCTAAATATTATTATATAAGGTATATTTATAAGAGGCTAATAGTCTTTCAAGAAACTACCGTTACCATAAATAATTGCCATTAATGATAATAGTTTTTTCCTAAGAACCATTACACTATGAAATATGTAGTCCTACATGAATGAGAAAGCCATCAATGTCTTTTTTTTAATATCATTCAGAAGTTTCACGATATCTTGTGTATGCAACCATTTCTATTTTAATGATGACTAAATTAATTTGAGAAAAAGGAGGGATTGTTTATAATAGGGACTTGTAGCCTCACTGCTAGCAATTTAGCTCGCCAGTCCAGGTGAATTCATCACGATGGGCTCACTAAGCTGCCACTCCGCCATTAACCCGGGTTAAAATTATCACCTATTTAAAATAAATATGAAAACACAGAAAAAAATATTCATTGAAATACTATCAAAATCAGAAAAAGAAATTAGCAAAGACGTAACAAAAACTATAAAAAAAATACAGACGAATTGAGAAACTACTATTTTTTGAAGTCATTTAAATAATCTTATAATTTGACAGTGTAATGTCGCAGTCATTACCTAGAATACCAAAATAAATAAATAACATTGTGCGCGGTGTTGTAATAACTTTTGACCTAATGGATGTGTAAAATACGTGTGACTGAATACGATATGATAAAATTATGTTTGTTGGTAACAGAGAGTAAAGCTGCCATCTATATTTGTCTGTGGACGCTGTGGACGATATATCAGTTGAAATCGTATTTTTTCTCCCTAGATAAATTTAGCAATCTTGCAATATCCTTTTATCAAAATTATTTGTGTTTTGTTATTATTATATCAAACAACAGTGTATTACGAATAAGACCTCGTATATTCACTGACAGTTCTACGTGAAATTTGTTAGAGAAATTTACAGCTGCATACTAGGTTGCCTAAATAAAGCTCAACTTGTTATTTACATACACAATAATTTATTGTTTCTTACAATTTAGTCAAGCTAAAATACAAGTTGTTGATTGATTACAATTTGAAAAGCTTTAAATTTAATCTCTCCCAGTGTTAATCAGTGAACAAAAGCTCCATCTTGCAGCTGTAAAGTAACACACCATATTTTGCCACTCGTGCCTCGACACATTAATTGCAGTTTTGTTCAATAATAAATTCGTAGGAAAACCAGGAACGTCAACGTGGATAGGACTGTGGAAATCACAACGCAGGCATCCTTACAACCACAATATATATTAGATAAAATTATAATAAGAGTGGGCATATTAAAAAAAATCTAGATTAATCGTAACTTATATTCTTATGAGATACACTGTAATTTATACTGACATTTGCAACTATTGGAGCGTTTTCCATCATAGTAAAATATTGTGGATGAAAGAAAACTGACCGCTTCAATCATTGTCAGTCGATTCTGTAGCGCGCTACATTAACTAACTTAAAGTTGTTTTCTAGTAAAAAAAAAAATTAACACTCACTCAACTCCGTCAACGAGCTCATTTTGTAATACCACTTACTTACATTACCCAAAATGTTCTTAACACTTATGAGCTTTACTTAACATTTCATTGACAAAATTCCTAAGTGAACCGGACAGTGGTAAGCCAAGGAACGCTCCATTTACCTAAACATATGGCTATTGTACAATTTCACAATGCAATTTTTAGATCTAGTTAAAGTACAAATTCTTTAGGAATTACATGAATTCAAATTATGTCAATTTAACTAATCTCCAACTAAATGAGTGTAAAGACAACTACTGACACATCAATGTTAAACAGAAAAAAAATTTTGCTTATAGAAAACGTTTCTTATTTAGATAGAACAGAACTATATTTGCACATGTGTATTTACTTAGATGCATTAATTTGCAGTTTATTTATTACCAGAAATTACATAAGTTAGGCTGATCCTAATTGAACATTTTTTTTACAAATTTCAGTAATTTAGGACACTGACGGGAATTTCAAAGGATGGGGGGAGCGGGTACAAGAGGAAGGGGGTAGAGCCCGGGCTGTGGCGATGTGTGTATGTGTTGCTGACGTCACAACTGACTCATCACATGGCATACTTCCTTGTCCACTCACGGGCTAGTTCATTGTACTTTTCTCTGTCCGTTTTGTAGATCCTAGCAATTTCTGGCACCAAAGGATCATCTGGGTTTGGATCGCATAGCAGTGAGCAGATTGAGAGCAACACTGGAAAAACAAACATTGTAATATGAAGTTTATAAAGCAGAATCTAACTAGTTATTTAACTATTTAGTTAATACAATGGGAACAGATAAAAAATAGATTATAACATTTACACAATCATGAATTATATAGAATTGTGGAACATACTAAAAACCCACCCTTGGTTTTGTGTAACTTTTAATAAAAAAGAGCCAATGTTACTATGACAATATAACTTTTAATTGGTAAAACAATTTTTACAAAAGGTTAAGTATTTTTTTTTTTATTTGAATCTTTCATCTCTAAAATATTAGTTAAGTGAAATATTAGTAAGTATTTCATAGTAATAAATAAAAACATTTAAATGCAATGCAAATCTGCTGATCACAAATATTAAGTTAGAACTACAAAATGAATTATACTTTGATTACAAGCTTGGCTCTAAGTTATTATTATTGTTAATCCCAAGATCGATCTTATCAAAGTCGATATACAATACACAAATATGTGTATTGATACTACTTTTTCGAAATGTCAATGTTCGGAAGAACCAAATATTTAAATATCAGAGTGATATCAATATTAATACCACGACTAACAAGGTTCAATGTGAGAATGTGATCACAAAATTAAATTGAAATCTCAACATTATATTATTACAGGATATTATTACACAATGTGTATCACTCTGTTGAAAATGACAAACATTAAGGTCATTATTCCCATTGTCTACTTATATTTAAGAGGTTAAAGTTAAAGTTCTAAAAATAATAATCACTGCATGTTAAACAAATTACCTTTGGATATGGTTAGCGCTGGTGACCACTGTGAACGGAGAATATCAAGACAAATAGAACCATTACTGTTTATGTTGGGATGGTAGATACGTGTTGTGAATGCAACTTTTGGTGGTTTGAATGGGTAATCTGTTGGGAAATGTATGGTCAGGAAAAATACGCCTCCTTGGTAAGGGCTGTCTACCTGTAAACACAATAAGAAATAATCAAGATAAGAGATAATCAATAAATTATTGTAGAATAAAAAATGCTATCTTTGTCTCTTTATGATAATGAAATTCATTTATAATCATCTACTTAAGCAATTCATATCATTTCCTATTCATATCTAAAGATTTTTTTATACTGAAACAAAATTATTTATAACCTTTTTAAAACATTTAACACAATAATCAAGGCCTGTTATATCATATCCTTAAATAACATAGATACACAATTGACTAGCTGTACATAATAAAAAAAAATAACTGTCCATGCATAATCTGTGGTAGTTATAGGTTATGAATTCCTATATACCTATATAAAGTAATACTATTTAAATATAGAAATATACTTACTGGACCCATAATTGTGGCTTGCCAGTGAAAAACTGAAATAAAGAAATGAATAATTAGTAAAGCTGCCAATTCTACTGTACTGGAACAAGTTCATTGACACATTGTATTGGGGTGGTACAGATAACCTACATAAAGTATGAACTATCAAAATAAAGACAACAATTTTGGTATTTTGATCAAAATGTATCACTGACATATTTTCTAATCTATGTAATCAAGTAGAAAACCACACTTTTGTTTTTTACAAAAAAAAAAAGAAATAAATAGTACAACAAAGAATCAATAAAATTATGAATATCCTTGCATGCAATTAAAAAATACTTAATTTCCATGTTAAATAAAAGTTATATGAAATATCAAAAATATTTTCAAATTATTGCCCTCCTCATTTTTACTCCATGACCTGAATCTAAATTACATTGTTTCTAGCTATTATTATTATCTTGTCACAATGAGTCACAAAAAATAAGTAGGTAGATTAATGGGTACGTACGATCTTCTCCGTGTGGTCCTGCAGAACATTGTGCTGGTGGGTCTCTGCCAAGGTCTTGTAATTCCTGTGCAACAAAACATTACTATCTGTAGGTGCACAACAGTATAGGAAACACAATACCACTATCAATCGGACATGTCACATCATCACTTAAAAAATAAACTGATGGTCAACATATTGACCTGAACAGCTGGTTTCATCCGTGCAAACCGTCATAAAACACTACTAAAATATCCTTGCCGCGATACGTTCACATCACATTTAAGGAACTGGGCAAGAAAACCTCAAAATTGGCACATAATTCCGACATTTTATGTACGCCGTGTGCAGAAATTGTCACCTACATTAACCAGTAAAACACCGTTAACTCATTACAAATGATTACAAAGGGAAAATCATTTTGTCACTTCTTAAAATTTGTGCAAAACGATCACACACTCGGAATTTACCAGAAGAAATTTCGATAATAGGTATTCACAATGACGAAACATTCACTACGAAGTCTTGTTACAATTTTTTCGACACACCATTTTGAAAGTTTATTATACTCAAAATAAACATTACAAATATTAATACGTACCCTATTAATTCGTTTTAACGCCATTTGATTATTTTATGATGGATTATATCGACTTTCAACTAGACAACGAAACTGCGAGCCAAGGACCTTTGATTAGAGATTGCAAGATGGCTCCCGTCTAAACGCAAAAGTACCACCTAGTCGTTTTATGCAGAAATATCCAATTTCCAACAGTTGAGACAAAACATCAAATGCTTATATAAAAAATAATAATAACTTATAATAAGAAACAATAATAATTAAAACAGATCGCGGATTATAACAAAATTAACGCACTATCAACGAATGGAGAACAGTGAACAGGAAAATCGACCATTTCCAAGTCGCGTTCACAATGACTTAATTATATTTAGAGTGTGCCCTTTTATCAAAAATATTATTATTGCTTATTATACTAGTAATAAATAATTTTTAAAAACTAAAACCATTGGAATCATAAGAAATGAAGTAGCAGTCTTCGCTGATAATAATACAGTGTTTAGTTAACTTTAATTTAAAACTTTATAAAAATGTAGGTAATATTTTATAATCGATTATAGGTATTTTTTTAAATAGCAATACTAGAAATTTTTCGGAAAACACGTCATGAATGGCATGTGTCGCGCTATTTTTGGATAAATTAGGTACCTACATAGTTATTTTAGCACACATTTTTGCAATTTGAAACTTCCCCAGGTGTAAAATAAATTCCTCACGGAGATGTGAAAAAAGTTAATTTAGACAATTAATTTTTTAAAAACGTTAATATTACTTTAAAAATTCGTTACTTTATACTCATTTATTTTCATGGCTAATAAACGACTAAACCGATGTAATCAACATCGGTACGAGGAAAGATAGGATAAAATCTGAGAAATGATATATTTTAATACTAACAAAGTATCGCATAAATACTAGCTAATCTAGTTTTAATATATAAAAGCTTTTAAACTTAGTTTTCCATTATTTGAAACTATATGAATCATGATTATACAGAATAGCCTATTTACGTTAAGTAAATATTCACATATGAGAGAGTGCTTAGTAATAAGTTATTGTCAATGAGTAAGGCAATGTTGCCAACTTAGTATCTGAAGCTATTTCGTTGCAACTGTCGTTTTTGTACCTATTTATCAAATACATATGATCATTTTAAAAAAAAATAAAATGTGTAAAATTATAGTCTTTTTCTAGTTAAATTATACCCTAAATTTGCCATAGGCGTATTTGAGAGTAAGGAGTGAGTAAGCCGTTCCCAGTGTACAATTATCTGATTTCCCTCTAAGAATTTACCTACATGTTTATCTCGTTTTTTATATTTTTTACATTATAAAAAAATATTTTGAAAAGTGTGCCTTCTTTTTTTATACAACAGAATGGCAAACAAGCTGACGGCCTACCTGATGGAAAGTGGTAACCGTCGCCTATAGACATGAGCAGTACCATGGACATAACAGACTATACTGTTTCACTCATGATACCCCCCATGCGTTGCCATTCCCAAGGACTCAGGTGTTATTCCTCTGTACTCAGTAAATTCACGCCATATCCCACCCTTCAAACCGAAACACAGCCATGCAAACACAACTGCTTCACGGTTGAAACACGAATGGGACAGAGGTACCCAAACAATCGACTTTTGTACAAAGTCGATTGCTTGGGTATATTGATTCTGGTGCCTTTAATGATAAAGCTCTTTCGTTTCAATATTTTATTCAGTGCTGACATCTTATTTCAACGTAACGTCTTATCAGTCTATATATCTTTAAGCTAAGCTTTATAGTACGAATAAATATTTATTTTTCTAAACAGAATATTTAAAAAAACAATATAATTAGACTATTATATATAGTACGATTTTGAAAGTTTATACTAGGGGATTAACCCTTAAAAATTCAATTAATAAACCTTATGTATATATAATTATAATGGTGCAATAAATGAGTTTGCACTTACAGTTATATTGATTAAATTCTAATTGATTACTTAATAGTGTGAACGTTTACAAATAAATGAAACTTAACACTAGTACAAAATAGTTATAAAGTGTAAAAGAACCATAACGCCCACTCTTAGATTGCCACTTATTCAAAGAATAAATTATTTTTATTAAATAAAAATGAAATAAAATGCTATTATTATAAATACCTAAGTAAATAGCAGATAGGTAAATTCTCTAAAACTAGATATATAGAATTCATTGAATAAATAGAAACGGTTTCGGAAAAGTTTTTCTAAACAGAATATTGGTGAGAAAAAACAATATAATCAAACATCTTATTTATTTTAAAGATATAATAAATATATATAATTTTATATTACTCTGTTAAAAGAGATTTTTATGAAGTCCCGTTAAGTAGTTAAAAAATATATTTGAAAGTTTTCTGTCACTTCGACTAGTTACAAGGGGGTTAATCCTTAAAAATTCAATTATATCTAATAGCTAATTTATAATTAAAGTAAGAGAGATAATTATTTATAATTAAGAATTTTCGGAATACGTGTAATGCAAAAACAAATACATTTGTGAAATATTTAAATAAGATGACTGAATTTTTTAAAATGTGTTGATATTTAGGTTGATTAGACTGAATAATTAGATTAAATGGAATCATTGAAACAATGATAATAGAATAGAATCTGATAAGAGTTTAATAGAAAAATTCTAGGTAGGGCTGTCAAATTCTACCATTATTATTTTTATATTGATAAATAAAACATTTCACGAAAAAATATAAAATAAATAAGTAATTCATTAGTAAGTGCCACCAGGAAAAAACATTATATAACGCAGATAACATTTTGTCAACATTTTCTTTTTCTTAAAAATAATATTGCTGTTATTTATGTTTGACCGATCATATTTGAATTTGACATACCAAAGAAAGAATTTGTTTTATTAACAATATTACTTAAATTTTAATTAGACTTACTTCAAAAAACTTAGGTAAACTTAACTTACATAAGTTTTTTGAAGTAAGTCTAATTAAAATTGATAAAATAATTGACAAAAAATTATGGGTATTTGCGACTTATTGTTGAATTTTTAATTCACCTATAGTTTCTTTTAAACCCATATCTAGGCGAATAAAAATAAACTGCATTCCTGTTGTTTTAAGTATAATATGATATATAAATATATGATATATAATGAATATATTTTATACTTCATGTTAATTCAGAAATCATAAGACAGAATCATTCTCTATCAGATTTCATACTTTATGTTAAAGCTCTAAAAATATGCTATTCACCCCGTTTTATGAGTGTATGTAATTTATTAAAATAATATTTGTAAATGTTCAAAAGATTTTTCGTTGTGTTGTGTTTAATACAATTATATGCGATATAGATATGTGTAATAATTTGGTTGCTATTCATTAATGGTTGGTTGGATATGTTGAATTTACCCCTCACCACAGAGCAATTTCTACGACATTTAAAAGTTGTGACTACACCTATATTAATGGAACTAGAGAGATAATGTACCTTTAAGTATTAACATAATAAATTAAATAAATATTCAAATTTAGATTATTTGCATTAAACATGGTTACATTAAATCAACTGTGTCACATGTTCGAGCCACGTTTCACCAAAATATTGGTATGCGAAAATTGTTAAGATACACTATAATTTAGTCATTCAAGAGTTCAACGACTATTTATTGTGCAAAATTTACAAATGAATATAAAGAAGTTACATAGAATACGTAGAATTTTTTTTATTTAATGTGACGCTAACCTTTTCCCCCACTACGAAAATTTTGACGTTTGTTTGGCAACGGAACTTGTTTGTTTTATTTCATTTTCTTTCAAAACTGTTTCTCTCTTGTTTTGTGTTACAGGTATTTTATTTATCTGACTACTTAAATTTAGGATAGTTAATATTTTTATTTAAAAAGTTTTGTGCTGTTTTTAAATTTGGAATTCGTATTTATTCAGATGTGATTTAGTTTTATCGGAATTCTTAGTATGAAGTTATAAGTGTAAAGTTACAAAGTGTAAATTACTTTTTGTCAAGAGTATATTTTTAATCGTACAGGATATTGAGAAGAGAAATTATGACTTTGACTATGACTAAAAAAGTTATTGAATGCCAAGCGGAAACCTTACAATTTATGCCAATAGAAAAAGTAAGTAATATGTACTTTGATCAAGTTATGCTGACCCAGCACGACGTGTACTATAATTTTAGTTAAGCCCAGGTCTCTTGGGTTAAATAAAAATAATTCACCAATTATTTTAATTAGTTATCGGTATCTTAATAAAAATAAAATTGCTGCAATAGTATAAGAGTAGTATTTTGATGTAGTGCGTATTGTTCTAATCACTCCGATTTTACAAACCAGTTAAAAATTATGAAGCACTTAATTTAACAATATTATTGCACATTTTTTTTTCTGAAAATCAGTCTAGTTTTTGCATAAACTAAAATTGTAGGATCATTACACTGGACATGTATTTAATTTATTTACCTTTTATTGTACATATCAGCATTTTTGAAAAAGTAAGTTTATTAATATTTGGCTATATATTAATTATATGTTTTAAATGCATGATAATAAGGAATTTTGTTCAGACAATAATTGGGTACATTAATTACCTAATAATTCATCATTGTCAGTCATTATCTTGTTCATTGATTTTATAGGATGAAGTCAGATCAGTTGGTCCATTGATATGAATTTATTAGGAATTAATAATATATAATAAATATAAAAATAAACAATGCCCTTTTATTTCAGCTATTTGTTTGTGTTATGCATTATTGTTTCTGTAAATAGACATGTCAAGATTAAACAGACAGAAGTAATTCAACAGACTTATGTACAGCTATGAACTCACTGTACAATGTATGGTTGTACATATTACTACTTACAACTTTACAACTAGGGAGAAAAGGATTGTTACTTATGAGCTTTACTAGTCCTATTACTAGCAATATAGGGTATATTATAGTATATAGTATATTAGTATATAGTATAGTATATATCAGGTCGACCTTTACACTGTTTCCTCTGGAAACCATCATGGTTATTTCGTGTGGAATTTGTCACAATGGGCTTTCATTTTTACCTATAATCTCTCACTGGTGTCCCGTCTGAATATACTGATAATGCAGGCGAAGTGACCATTCTATTTTCACCCATTAAAAAAACTGTACAACTATGTACATTCAACTGTGATTCATGTGTTACAAGTGTAAGAAAACTGTGTACTTTTCCATGTTACTTTGCAAGAAAGTGCAAGTCTAATGATCAATCTCAAAAATCAATTGCCATCTCACATAACTCCATTACATATACATTGTATTGTAAAATTTTCATTTTACATAATTTACAGTTAATATTTGAGAAGTTGAAAGAAAACTATATAGTGTTTGAGGATAAAAACTGTACAGTTAAAGATAAAACTTAATAATATCTAGTTAAAATTAAACATAATGTTTTATAAATTTATTTGGAATGATAAAGAATAATATATATAATAATTGGAAAATCTAAGAGTTAATATACATACTCTAACCAAGTTAATCTACTTTTTAAGATAAGAATTGCTCTCCTGCAATACTGAACTACATTTGATAATCTTTTTATATTTATGTAGGCAGGAATTATTAACTGTGACTGTGAGTGTCCCATTGCATTAAATTACTTATTATTGTTTTTGTATGCTGATTAGGGTTGTCATATTTTTTTAAGAAGCTTCCATTAATTATATTGCAAAGCTTTTAATACTTTAATATTGTTTAAGGTAGAAGATGAATGCAGCACAGAGAACTATAGCTCTGGCAGTACCCTCCTCAAACGTGGCAAGAAATTGGAAGACAACAATAACTTGACCAAAGAAGATTTGGAGTATATCAATTATAGGCAGCTATTGAAGTATGAAGAAGCCCCAGCATACTTGCAGCACAATCCATACATAAGAGATGGATATCGGAAGATGTTACCAACAAGATTATGTTGGGAGAGGTATTAATACTTTTTAATTATTAACTAGAATTTACTTGCTTTTTTTTTTCTGAATTACAACATCATAATAGTTAATCTAAAAATATAGCATTATGTCCTTCCACAAGGCACAAAACTTGATAATTATGAAATAAATGTATGTTAGGGATAGGGTATCTTGTAACATGTTAATTTGTTGTTCATTGAATGGTAATCAACTAATCTATTGTCCAACTCTCATTTATTATTTAGAGGGAAAGGATTATTTTAATGTATAATCTTGCCTGGTCGGCCTTCACACAGTCTCTTAGAAACCATTTTTTAAATCTTAGTGAATTTATCACAATGAGCCAATTAACATCATTATTATCATCATATCGTTAACTGTCTACTGCTGAATATAGGCCTCCCCATAAAGGAGGTTTTACCAACAGTTGATAACTACTTGGTTTGGTTGGTGTTTGGCAGGCAGGTTGGCAACTGCATTTAGACTTTGGTGATGTTTTAAGAGGGACTTTGCTGTCCATCCTTCATTAAGTTTCGTTAGTCGTCTTTTACAACACCCATGGGATAGAAAGGGATAATTGACCTTACTTCATTTTAATTATTACAATCTCTACTAATACTCATTGTACACTATTACCAAAGACAAATGTCTTAACTCATCCTCATCTATTAAAAAAACCTTCATTTATATATGGAAAGACTTGGGTATTATTTTAATTCATTGAAATAATTTATTCCCCTGGTGCTCAGTCATGGCAATATATGAGAAATTGTATGATACAAGTAATATATGGTGTATACATGATACAAGTAATATACAGGGTTAAATCAAACTTGTCAGTCATATATACAAGTAATAATCAATCCATGCTATATAGGGTTTCTCAAACTTATGGCTTTACATACCCCTATTAGGCTTTCTAGATCATAGTGAACACCTTAAAAAAATAGGATAGAATATATAAGGTATTATAAAAATAAGTACAAAAGAGCAATAGATAAATGTTATATCTATTATTTAATGGTATAATTTTGTGTGAAACACACCCAGTGTTTGTTTTCTTTGCACAAATTGTATCGTTCTCTAAGAATTAGAGAAATTTTTAAAGAATGCTAATGATTCCGTTTGTACCCCACACCAGAATATATAATCCTTACTAATGTTATGAATGTGAAAGTGTGTCTGTTATTCTGTAGTACCTTAATGGCTTAACTATGAAATTACATGGTATATAGGTACATACTATGTTGGATAGAGAAGGTTATAGGTTACTTTTTACACCGATCATTAAACATATACTGAGGATCTACCATGAAATATTTTCCGAAATTTCGGGGACGAGCGAAACAGAAATTTGATGTTAAAATTACATAATACACGCCGTTTAAAATGATTAAAAATGTTAAAATGTCGTTCCTCTGGACTATTAGGATAGGATTTATGATGAATGAAATGGTAAGCTCCATTTACTCGGTCGATTTCGGTACAAAAACACGAAATTGAGCCCGAAAATTTGGAATTTCATTTCATGGTAGACCACCAGGTAACGTGAAAGAAATCGCGGGTAAAAGCTAGTATTCTATATATTATTTATGAAATTAGTTGTCATTTTAGAAATTAATTTTGCAGATTAGATTGAATTTATAAATAGTTTTAATATGTAAAAATGCATATTCTCATGTTTTTTTATTCTAAGACATACATACCAATCAGTGTGTGTGATCTAGATGTTTTACAATGTTATGCTTTCTAAATTATATGATAGTTTGTATTATATAAATTATTTTAGTAATAAGGTAAATAATAGCGAAATCAGATTATTATGGTCTCTGGTACCGGTACCATAACAGAAGGGAGAATATCATATTATTACCGAAACATTATAATAGTAGAGAAAAAATATATTGTTTGGAGAAGTTTTAATTCATTTTCTTCAGGTTCGTGGATTTCCATGACAAGTCAATGTCGTGGAAATCGTGCACGCACGGAAATTTAAAACCGTTTCCCTACAATTGCATACATGTTTAATGAACGAACGAATGAAAACTTTTTATTAATGATACAGATTGTATCATTCCTTGAAGGGATGATAAAGTTTAACAATATATACACAAAAATTAATTACATAAAAGCAAGATACATAGGCAGCAATGAGCGAATTTTAAATAGCAATCTCTTTCAGGTAACTTTAGGATGGATAGGAATAATTAAAATTGTGTCTGTTCAAGGCGTAACAGAAAAATAATAAGACTAAAAAAAGGGAGAGACAAAAGGGTTAAAGATACATTTTGCTTTGTTATTACATATCATATCAATAAAATCGTATTTTACAGTGCCATGTTGTGGTAAAATATAAAAGTTTTATTTGCCATTGATATTGGTGATAATGGCCTTTGACATTCATTGTCCTATTGAGTAGGCATATATTAGTGATATGGATATTTTAATTAAGGCAATTTATAAATGTTTAACGGAGAGTGTATAACAATTCTAAATTCAACAATAGTAGGTCATCGACAAATATATTTATAATAAATATAATGTGAAAGTGAGTTTGCTTATTTGTTATCTCTTAGCGGCTTAACGTAGAATTTGGTATTTTTTTAGAATTAGGCAACTTTTCATTTTTGTGACCCAAATAAAGTCGCAGATTTAGATTTAACTAGAGTCAAATATAATATGATTATTTTCAGTTCCATATAAAAAAAAAAAACCGACTTCAAATGTGACAAAACCATTTATTTTGATTTAAAAACTATTTAACTAATTTTGATAAAATTTCTATGGAACTAATTTGTTTTTCAGAGAAAAAAAAAAGAATTTTCCAAATCGGTTTACATCTGACGAAGTTATGAAGCAACAATTATAAAAAAAAAAAAAAACAACGAATTGAGATCCTCCTTTTTGATGACGGTTTAAAATAAATTTATTAGTAAATGTAGTAATTATTATATAATTAATTATATAAAAAATATCCGTGGATGTGTATGTTTATAATAAATATTGTGTTAAAAAATTGTATATCTTTGATGAAAGTTTTTCCACGTTTGTAAAAATATATTGACCTGATTGATTTATGTGCGTATTTGTTGAATTTGCCTGTTTTTACAATTAAAGTATATTATACAATTACGAAATTTTTAACAATAAGGAAGTGTCTTTACAGCCCATTGCTAGAAATGCATCCTGTCTTAGTATTGCAATAGTAACTCTATAGTCTACGCTATGGGTATACGCTGGCGGAGCACCAGTGAGAGATGATAGGTGAGGATGAAAAGGCCGGTCAGTTAGCCCATTGTGATGGATTCAACTAGAATTAATCATGATGGTTTCCAGGGGAAACCGCGTGGAGCTCAACCTGATAGGGTATGTTGGGGGAGAGGGATTGTTAGTAATAGTATATACAATAAAAAAAAGTAGTAAAGAAACCTTATTTAGTTATTGAGGTGTTTAGTCTTTTTATTTTCATCTAAGTTCTTACTCCTTTATTCATAAAACTTTAAATCTCTCAGTAACCTATTTTAACTATTGAACTGTTTTGTCTCTTTCTTTTACATTAAATTCCTAAATTGAAAGACAGTAATAAAATAGTGTAATAGTTAAAACAGTTTGTAAAAAGTTTTAGTTTTTATGTAGAAGAGGGTTAATTTACACGTAATATAATATATAAAAACAGAAACAACCTGAAACATATAATATTTACGTAGTTAAAATAGGTTTGTAAATGTACTTTCAAATTATAGAAGTCCAATTAATTAATATATACATATTTTAATTAAAAAAATTGTTTTAATTAATCTTTTCTAACTTGTTTATCACACCATTGTTCGAACGTAACCACGTTCTAATAAGTAGATAAATGATCATTATCATATCATATCTGTAAATAACTACTTAGCGGATTATAATGTACGCTCTAATTCAAAGACGCTTCCTATGATCAAAGATCAAATTTTATTTAGGTGTTTACTTTTTATGAAAATCATAAACTAAAACATCACGTAAGAATTAGTGCATCAAATTGAATGTTGTGTTCATAGTTGTATACCTGAAGATCTAGCTTAAAATCCGCTATAAGTTTTGTCTTGCTGTGCCATCTGTCATCCAAAAGTAGTACATTTAAACGGTTTTTCTACTTTTAAACGAAGTAGCGGGCGAAAAGCTAGTTAAAAATATGTTTTGTAAATAATTGAAAAGAATATAAGAAATATTTAAAACTTTCATCGTGTAATAAAGAAAAAAATTAATAAATGTCGGCATAGATTGTTCAGTATTTTCTTTTATGTAATTTAGAATGACACTAACTGACGACCCATGTAATAGAAAGTTATAATCGTCGTCTATGCACATGAACATCACAGAATACTTCAACGCACATAGTAGGTACCCTTTTTACCCGACTTCGAAAAAGGAGGAGTTTATATTTTTCACCGTATATTTTGTCATGTATGCCCACGGATTTCTCTTTCAATTGTGGACTGATGTTAAAAATTATTTCCTTATAGCCATTCTTGATGACTATGATCTTATATTTCTGAATGTGTCTTAGACTACCATATTTTTATTACACACCTTTCAAACCGAAACAGTATGCAAATTTTTTTATTCTATTTTCAACTGACTTAAAAACGATTTGATGCGTAATGCTGAAATAAATGTATAGACAGAGGGAGACTGTACAAAAGTCGATTGCTTGGGTATCTCTGTCCCATTCGTGTTTCAACCGTGAAGCAGTTGTGTTTGCATGGCTGTGTTTCGGTTTGAAGGGTGGGATATAGCGTGAATTTACTGGGTACAGAGGAATAATACTTGAGTCCTCAGGAATGGCAACGCATGGGGGGTATCATGGGCAAAACAGTATACTCTGTTATGTCCATGGTGCTGCTCATGTCTATAGGTGACGGTTACCACTTTCCATCAGGTGGGCCGTCAGCTTGTTTGCCATTCTAAGTTGTATAAAAAAAAAAAAAAGACAGAGAGACAGGCAAAATTTCTAAAAATGGTTGTTTTGACTACTATTGCTCTTATTAAGAACCCTCGTATAATTGTTTTTTAAATTTCTCTCATGTACAGACCTCGCCAAGTTAGAATTTTATTATCTATAAATATATATATATATATATATATATATATATATATATATATATATATATATATATATATATATATATATATATATATATATATATATATATATATATATTAAGATTAAGATACTCCAACCATATATTTTTTGTTGCAGTGTATTCTGGTGGACAAATGAAACAATGAACATTTGGACACATGTCTTCGGATTCTTCCTAATAATGAGTCTGACGATCAATGATCTCCTACTTATAAATATCCACGCGACGATGGCGGACAAAGTCGTGGCAGCTGTATTATTTTCTTGCTTTATGGTGAGTATATTTTGTTGTTCTATTACTTATTATCCAAGATCCCAGGGCCCCCAGACTTTACTTATTTTTTGATGCACAAAATATGCCCAATAAAGTAATATTAGGACGTACAGTAATTGTTAGGGATGCAGACTGTCCGTCCCATTTCTAGTAATATACTCTGTTAGGTCTAAATTTCAGGTGTATTCATCGTTAGCGCATTCGGGATTACCATTCCATTACTATCCCGTAAAAACACACAATGTAATATTTTTATGTACTTGTAGCACCTGATACCTGAGAATTGGCCGACAGCGCAAGCTAGCAAATATATATAATGTTTATATTCGTTTAGTATACGTTTAGTATATATTCGTATACTAATACGTAGTAACACTATCGTATATATTTTGTGCATCAGAAAGTAAGTAGTCTTAGGGCCCTGGGATCTTACTTTATTGTTGTATAGAATGAAATGGATATAATTAGCGTTCTATTAAGGGAGTGTGACATCATTTGAACAGATTTTTTCTGAAAATGCAATTTGCATTCAAAAAATGATAAAAAATTTAGCACCTTCCCAGTATGGGATTTAAAAACTTGATGCGCCATGTTACGAGTAGTATGGGAAAGTATTAACGTCTTTCGACTCATGTTTCTTTGGAAAAATGTTCTGCTTAAAATGTTGCCAATGTTCAGATAAACATTGAACGCTTACCCCGTTTTTGTTAAAAACGTCAAAACCTCTCATAAATCCATTTAGCTATTAAACTGTTTTGTCTCTTCTTTGATGCTAAATTCCTAATATAAAAAAAAAAAGTTACAATATAGTGTAATATTTAAAAAAGGTTTGTACAAGATTTGATTATTAATGAATAAAGAGGTTAATGTTTAAACTCAATTGTTTTACAATAAATGATTTTTTAAATATTTTAATTTATAGGTCGTAAAGATCACGAACCCTCCAAGTACCATTATTCAAAGATGTGTACCTTTAAAATTTGCATAACATTTTACTATACAATATATTAGATAAGTTAGTTTAAAAATCACTTAATATTTTACACGCCGCTTTCACTTCTTTATTCATTTCATACTTAGCTATATGCGAGAATTAATAGCTACACTTAGTTTATGTCATAATTTATTAGAATTCTAAAATTCGCAACGTTTTATTTATCATTTGACATGTTGTGATGCTAAGAAAAAGTAGGTAAATATCGAAAATAAACTAAATATACGCATCGCGGCCCCATCTAGAAAGGCCATGCCATAGCATCCGTGGCGCTTTGAGATGTGCGACCTGCTTTTCTCTCAGTGAAAGTATTTTAAACAATCTTGAAATCAAGTATTGCAAATTGTATAGTCATTATATTATTATTGATACTCAGGTGTGTGGTGTCCGATATTATATTAATTAAAATTAATGTCATTTCGACTATTAGAAAAAGACTTAAAAACTACAGTTCTTTGGTACACATTTTTTGTTCTATTTATGAAAAATGTATATTTAAAATAAAAGTACCCAAATATTGTATCCCTCGTTTATTTAAGTGTGTTTCCAACCCATATATGAGTAAAATGGTATGGTAACCCCGCCTGCGCTTTTATTTGATGAGAATGAAAACAGTTTCCCATCATTATGCTAATTTTAATATTGCGTGCTAAATTATTAAACAATCCCTTCCCCCCACTACACTATATTTAAAGCGTGCTAAATTGTAAACTGCCGTGCCATATTCGCAGCATAGAATGTTCTTTTCCTGTGGGTGCCGTAAAAGGCGACTAAGGGAACTTAAAGATCAAGAGATGCGCAGCAGCTTTCTTCCTAAAACATCAAAAAACAATCAATTGTTGTTGTCAATCCGTCTGTCAAGCGGAGCAGCTACTAAAATTCCTTTACGATGTTTCATCAGCTAAATCACCGAAACCTGTTAACCGATTTAATAAAATTTCCTAAATATGTATCGTTTGCATCGGTTTGGGTGATAATTTCTATCCCGATAAGAAAAAAAATGTCCTGGTAAGTGGCCGGGAGAACAAAACAGTGTCTCCGGTATTAACTTTTATAAATGAAATTTTAATTAGTGATATAAAAAGTCGTTTTGTTGTAATATCAGCTGATTAACGTCAATGTGTTTATAATTACACAAACCTGTTTCTTGTAGTAAATTCGTTTTGTACGAATAAAATAAATATCGTTTAGCAAAATGTTAGCAATGTTAATTACTTGTTGGAGTAATATACGATGTCTATGCCGTGGATAAATCAAATTAGAAAAAATATATTATAATACGGAGATATATCTTTACGCGTAATAATAGTGAATCCGTAACAGTATGCACAACCGAATAATACAAGAGAAGGGTTTGATAGTAAGGATGACTAACGGGCCTATTGCTAATAATAATAATATTAATTCAAAATGTTGTTTTCAATTAATTAATTATTTATCATCTCATTATGTGTTCTTCAACTCTGATAATTGTTATCTTGACATAATTATTGCTTTGACACATATCAAAATGTTTATGTAATAGTATAAACTATTTATTAATTTATGGTTTTATACAATGGTCTATAACAGTGATTCTCAACCAGTGTGTCGCGGCACTTTTGTGTGCCGCCAAATTTTGCACATATGTGTGCTTTTGAAATAAATATGTAACAAAAAAAAAAAGGTTGAGAATCACTGGTCTATAAAGTAGAGAAGAATATTAGTAGAGTTTTTATCTGCAACTTCGTCCGCGGGATATGTTCACTGATTGGCGTAAAAAGTATCTTATATATATTTGTAATATTCCTTATATTATGTATATATCAAATTTAATAATAATTGGTTAGGCCGTTAAGACGCTTAGAGGTAACAAACAAATAAATAAACTCACTTTCACATTTATAATATTAATAAGGATTTTAATACAAAATGCTGTTTTCAATTAATTAATTATTTATATTTTCTGTGTAAATTGTTCAACGCTGATATTTTATATACAGAATTATTGTTTTGATTTGACATTTATCAAAATGTTTAAACAATGGTTTTGTAGACTATAGAATAACTGTGTTATTCTCCTCTGAGTCTGACCTAATTACATAAAAAGAGAATATACATTAATTATTGTGCATGACATAAAATATTTACAAACATTTGAAAAAATATCATTAAATTTCTATGATCTTTCTACCATCGATAGGCAGTTCGTCTCCATATCTTAGAGCCTAGATGGTCGCGTATAGCGTAGTTTTTTTTAGAAGTTTCCTCTTACAAACGTTTAGGTTATGAAATGAGCTTACTGTCGAAGCTTTTCAGAGAGACTTCAGCATGGGGTTCTTCAAAAATGGTATTAAAAGGTTCTTTCAGGGTCGACAACGCGCGTAATCGCCCTGGTATTGCAAGTGTTCGTAAGATACGAAAACCACTTATCATTATATATAACGGTGAGCTGTATGATTGTCTGCCATCTCAGTGGTATAAAAAAGTGATCACAGAAAGTCGACATCGAAACTGCAGGGAACTTGTTCTGACTGGACTTGCTCCTTTTTCGATTTCTGATTTTAAACCAAGTGCCTCAGTGCTAATAAAAAATTTATTTATTTTTAGGGCAATGTTAACAAAATGAGGCTTTTAAAAAATAATAATAAACAAATAAACACAACTACATCACCTACGTCATAAATCATATGGTTTCTATTGTAGTTTTAAGTATATATTTTTTGTAAAAAAAAAAGGTTACGATCGTGCAATATATTATAACCAAGAATACAATAGCTTACAAAAATATGATCACTTAAAATTACGCAGTCACTTTCAAAAACTGGCCATAGGTAATCAGTGAGTGTATCACGTAACAAAATTGACAATTTGCAGTAATATTACCATACAATTTTAGGCTTTATATTTATAGTAGGAAGTTCACGACAATTGAAGGTTTACAACATTGATGGTCGTGCCATCAGCGCTTTCTTTTAATGAACTACACACGAGTTATTAAAAACATTTTTTTTTTAGTTAAGATATAAAATGACGATACAGTTATAAGATGCTGGATTGAATGCACGTGATGTGGAATCTGCTTTTTGTAATTTTTTTTTATGCAGTTTTTATTATACTATTGTGGCAAATAAGCATACGGCCTGTCTGATGGATTTGGAATGGCAAACAAACTAACGGCTCACATGAAGGAAACGGTGCATCGCTTGTATGTAGGGAGCTGTATGTAAAACTAAGAATATTTAATTTATATATAACAAGCCCGCCTTGGCTCCGCACGAGTGCGGTTGCATTTGTTTGTGTAAAATTTAACACATTTTAGCAATGCTAGCAGCCTTTTGACGTATAGGAAAGTACTGTACTAATATTCTATATGATTTTAAAATGAAGAGCTTGTAAAATTTATTTTACTTTTAACATAAAAAATAATTTTTTTGGTGGAGATATTGAACTTAGATATATGGTGTCGGAATTTTTATAAAGCTAAAAGTAATGAATATTTTTGTTTGCGTTCATATATTAAAGGCAAAAATTATGAAAATTATTATTATATTCGTAAAAAATAAATAAAATCATTTTGTCAATTTAGAAATTTTGGCTTAAATTTACTTTAATTACAAAATAATCAACAAAAATCACAAGTCTCAATTTTAACACCATCTGAAATTTCGTGTAAAATTTTGTTTAATGACTAACTACGTTAAGAGAATGCTGATTTATTATTTCTATTTTATCCGGTATATGACTATATGAACAGTGCGGCGGACTTTTATACTTGTTTTTATTTTTTTTACCTTACTTTTTATTTACTATACTTATTTATTTATATCTTTTTTGTTTAAGATTTTTTTTATTTTAATACTTTCTTTTGATAAATCTGTAATATTTTCCTACTAATATTATGAATATGGGAGTTTCTAATGTTTCGATGTTTGTTAGCGAAATAATACTTAAATGGCTAAACAGATTTGAATAATTTTTTTTTAAATGGGTAGGTTTTTTGTAAATCCTAACTTAACATACAGACAAAGCTGTTCGAAACGGTTAGTATTTTATATCTCTATAGACGAATGGAGATGAAAAATAGTGACGCATTGCGTTACACTTACAACACCATCGTCACGGAATTATTATTTATGATACGTATGACGTTTGCGTTATTTGTTACGTAGTTAATATGAATAGTAAATGCGACGTTCCGCCATTATATTATGCGTATTATCATTTAATCACCATTATTACAACCCATTAGCTCTGTTGTTTATATAAACGTATCTTATCTATATTTGTGTGAACCTGTGGGTATCTTACCCTACTTATTTTTAATAATTAACAGCTTCTTATCGAGATTATTTAACCGTGAAAAAAGTTTTTATTACTTATGTAAAATAGCGATGCCCACGTCCCACCTTCACCCAAAATAAATGTTACACCTTTTTGATAATATACCTTTATCAATAAGATAGTTACATTGTACCTAATCCATACTTACAAGCAATATGCCCAACCAGGTCGACCTCCTCGCGGTTCCCCCTGGAAACTATTATGATTAATTCCTGATGAATTCATCATGATGGGCTAACTGGCCTGTTTCCATTCTCATCGATCACTCTTCACTGATGCCCCGCCAGCGTATCCCGTTAGTGCAGGCGGGGTTATCATTCCATTTTCATCCAATAAAAAAATCCCATACTTACTTACTAATGTTATAAATGTGAAAGGAAATTTGTTTGTTTGTTACCTGTTAGTGCCTTAACGGATTAATTACTATAGACGAAGGGATTGTTAATAATGCGGATTACCAGTCCCATTGCTAACAATATACCCTAAGAAGTCGACCTCCCCATGGTCTCACTGGAAACCATCGTGCTGAATGCCAAGTGTGTTCGTCACGATGGGCTAATTGACTTGCCTTTTCATTCCCACGTATCATCATTCACTGGTGCTCCGCCAGCGTATACCGTTAGCGCAGGCTGGGTTACCATTCCATTATTATTCATTAAATAGAAAAAAAAAACAATTACTAAGAAATTTGATATATGCGTACTATATGGGATGGAGAGGTTTATAGGCTTCTTTTAATTACTACTAGAAATAACTAGAACTACTAATTAGAACTAGAATTGAGGAAATGTAATCGAAAATACGATATTTTAAAATAAAACGGGCGGAGGCTTGTCTTATTTTATCAGTATATTTATACTATATACTTTATTATTATGGTACCCACGTGATCCTTTCGATGTTAAAAAGAATCTTCAAAGTGGGAGACTTTGTACAAAAGTCAATTGCTTGGGTACCTCTGTCCCATCGTATTTCAACCGTGAAGCAGTTGTGTTTACATGGCTGTGTTTCGGTTTGAAGGGTGGGATATGGCGTGAATTTACTGATTACAGAGGAATAACACCTGAGTCCTTAGGAATGGCAACGCACGGGGGGTATCATGGACGAAACAGTATACTCTGTTATGTCCATGGTACTGTTTATGTCTATAGGCGGTTACCATTTTCCATCAGGTGGGCCGTCAGCTTGTTTGCCATTCTAAGTAGTATAAAAAAAAGTGGGTTTAGAATTGGCAAAGTTATTGTGTTACATACACAAAAAATGTGACCTTTCTCGTTAATAAACTATATAGATATATACATACACATCTGTCACGCCTGTCTCCCATAAATTATATGTTATGAATAATTAAATAAAAAGTTTTTCAATTGTTTCAGATATGTATGGCCCTCTCGGCGCTGTACCACACGTTCTCTTGCCGTTCAGAGACTGATTACAACACTTTCCTGATGTATGACTTATTTGGAATAGCGCTGTCGTTACTGGCCATATACACGTCCGGAGTGTACTACGCGTTTTGGTGTAATTACGTAAGTTGTGTTTATACTAAGTCTCAAAAAAAGAAGGAATGCAAAACAAAAAATAAGATTAACTTAATAGCATTTCTAGCATTGAAATAGGGTTTTACTAGATGAAAGTAATGAAACACGCGACTACGCTATCAGTATACGCTGGCGTGGTACCAGTGAGGGATATTATGTAATAATAAATTCACCAACAGTGATTAATTTATCATAAATTAACCACGAGTTTCCAAGGGGACCACATGAAGGTCAATCTGACCCTATATTGCTGCCGCTCTCTATAAGCCGTTTTCAATCATTTTTACACAGTGTAATGCAATTACATGATTGGTGTGTTTTCATGGACGCTCTACGTCATCTTTTACGGCCGTTGATCGGTTGTCCCTCGAATTGGAGACAGACAGCACAGGTCGCCAGTTCGGGGGCCGACCACATACTCTTTTTTGTTGCAGTATCCGGTCGTAGTACCTTTCTAATGCTCCTCAAATATTGCGTCTAAACTGCGCCTACCATGTACCCTCTTGTACAGGCATTCCGTCACCCGTATCCAAATATTGCTAGCAATGTGACTGTTAGACCCATAAGTAAATAAGTTTTTACACGTGAATTTATATGAATAAAATTGTTAGAGGTACCTATTTTATCTTTTAAGAGCTGAACATAAAAGCGACAGTAATTTTTTGATTGTTAAAACGCTTCTCTCAAAACTGCGTCGAGTAACGTATGGGGCTAGAAAAATAGCATTACTTCTATTATGTAGTAACAAGTGTCTGTGCTATATACCATAAGTCCTAACTGACCTCATCTTCGCAGACCTAAAAGTTTATTTAGAAATGGCACTTTACACCAAATTAATCAACATAAATGGTTTCTTATACATTTTGTACTTTCATTCACAATAGACGGAGAAAGTGACAGTTAAAGATTGACCGCTTAACTCTCACTAATACGAGTACTTACATTTTTTTTTATATGAGGTACAGTGATCTGTTGTAAGACCCTAGACACATTGCATGTTTTTTATGCACTGTTTTTTTTACAAATAAGACTGTGCATAATAATTATTATATTTATATTAAAATTTGTATTGATATTAAAATATAATTTTATTGTTCTTATAAATCAAATTGATCTGAAATTGTATGAATACAATTCTATTATTCAATTCTTCAGAATAACAAAAAATAACTATTTAAAAATACTGTATGTTTATGCAATTAGAAGTATACTAGAATAATAAGTTTTCTACATACATGCCTGTCACACTTGTCTCACATTGGGGTAGGGAGAAACAATGGAACGCCAAATAAATTATTCAAATATAATTCAAATAATAATTCAGACAGGTCTCGTATTATTTAAAATTTATTTCTATTTATTTGAATTGTCATTTTTTATGTTGTTTTTGATGAAACCATATACTTTGTGAAGGGTTCGTTGTATATAACAACAAAATAGATAATACTGAATAAAGATATATTTTTTCTAGTAACAATAACAGTGAAATTTAAAAATGACGTTCTCTAATAACAAAATTGTAATTGTCAGTATAAGAAAATAAATAAATTCTATTTTTAAAAGTAACATAAATAAAACCTCAACGTAGTTCTTTACTCTGTAAGTAAATAGTTTTATGATCAATGATCAAGTCTATGCGGTAGTAACTATCTCAAAACACACATACTTAGTTATTTTCTGTTTCCGCGGTGGATATGAGGACTAGTTCTAGAAAAATCACTCAAGGGATGAAGGATTGTTAGTAAAGGGTCTGTGGCATCTTAAAAAGAAATTTATTTTGCTAGCATGTAAACGCTGTGTCACTTCATCAAAAATATATATATATATATATATATATATATATATATATATATATATATATATATATATATATATATATATATATAATAAAGATTAAAAATTAATAGTAATAGATTGGTTATATTGCAATAAGTTTATATTATGTCATTTATGTCTTAAATTGTCTAAGAATTAAATAACTATAGGCAACGCTACATTTTTAAATAATAATAATAATAATACTAAAAATAAGTACCTATCGTGAAACAATTGCAGTAATTGAATAATATTTTAACTCATTATTCATTTCTATAGAAAAAAAGGTTGTCCTCCTCTCTCCTACTTGCTGTGCTCGACAGAGTCCATAATTAGAGTTGTTTTAAAATCTACCAACTACATTATGTAATGAAATAAAAAATAAATACGTATTATTTTTTCTACGATCGAAGATAAAAATTTACGCATACACTTTCTTAGATTTTTTGAAAATATTCAATCTCATCATATGTTTTTAATATTTACATAAAACAATTCTTTATTATATTTACCAAAGGACAATAACTGTTTTCATTGGTTCTGTTAGCTTCTACTGGCCTAAATAACTCCGTCAATTGCCTTGAGATTTGCCTTGAACATCCGTGACATATTTGGGAGTAGTGTGTGGAGCTAGCGGGTTAATGGCTCCATATACCGTTGCGAAATCCTTATATTTATATATTAGCTACCCGTCCCGGCTTTGCTTGGGTAGATACAAAGAAGATCTCTATTCTTTTTCGATAAAATACAACTCATTATTAGTACATTAATAAAAAAATATCGCTGATAATGTAGTTTTCTATCAAAACGACTATTATATCTAGACAGGAAAAACCTTAAAACAATATTAGGGACAATAACGGACCATTGCCCATTAAACAAATATTTATACACAATAGGAGTCACAGACAGCCCTTTATGTCGAGGCTGTTTTGTAGCTTACATTACATTGTAGCTTTTTATACGTGAATAAATTTTTAAAATAAATAATAATAATAAATAATTTTAAACTAAATGATGCAGTCGTCTTTAAATATTGACGAAACCCTACTCCCTAAATAGGTAAATCCTTTACTTTACGATAAACAGTAACACTTAAGGTCCTAAAATATTATTTTGGGTAAAATTTAGGTTAAAATAAGTAAAATAATATGGTACATAACAAATAGATAATAATAATACAAAAAGATCAGATCTTTCCCCTTTATAATATTAGTTTAGTTATTATAATCGACTCACAACAGAGTCAAAACTGTACATTAAATATTTTTAGAGACATAGCATTTGAGTATATACTCAAGCAATTGCTTTTAAAATTAACGTGTTAACGAAAACAGCCGGACTGATTGCGATGAAATCTTTATATTATTATAAAATAAATATGGATCAACGTACAGGCTATAGACAGTTTCAAGAGATTTCAACGAAATACTTATTGAGGCAACCGTCTGGAGACAGTATTTCCGAATCGATACGACATCATAACCTTCAAGAAAAGAGCATATTCCATTTTAAAAGGCCGCCAGCACACCTGCAATGCCGTTGGTGTTGTTTGTGATCATGGGCAGCGGTAGTCACTTACCATCAGGTGAGCCGTATGCTCGTTTACCCCATGTGTTGTAAAGAAAAAAGTAAGATAATTATAGATATCAATGATTTTTAATAATTAGATTCCTTTATTATATTAGTATTATAACCTAAAATTGAAGCTAGATTTTAATTTCCAACTGAATGCAGTGGCGTTTTTTTTGCTATGATTACTTACTTTCACCGCGTTTCTAACGACCGCTAGACAAGCCATCTTATTCCACGCAGTCAAAAGTGAAATTTGATGGTGAATAAAATACTTCCTTATATTTCTTACAAAGGAAGTAGGTAGTGGATTTAAATAATTATTTTTGTAACTATACTAATATGATCGATTTTTGCTCGTAAAATAGTTTTTTTTTTGTCTTAATACATTTTCTATGATTCGAGAAGAATAACGACTAATAATGTTGGGATTTATAATTAAAATTGTGATGTGATGATCCACAAAAAAACCGACTTCAATTATAGAAAAATCTGTTATTTTGATTTAAAAACTTAACTACTGAGTCGATTTTGATAAAGTTTCTATATGAGACCAATCTGTAAATATATTCTTTCAGATAAAAGTTTCTCAAATCGATTTACAACTAAATGGAGTTATGAAGTAACAAACATAAGAGAAACAACCGAATTGGGAACTATTTTTGATGTCGGTTGAAAAAAATTTCATTTTCTGTGTAGGTAATGTCACGATAAAATCGCTGTTAAATCGATTTAATGTAAATTTGCTAAAATATAAATAAAAAAAACATTTAAGATTTCAATAATTTATGTTCATGTCGAAAGTCATCAGAAAGTGGTTAGGGCTCCGCAACCATTATCTTTGGAATATTACATTTATAATTAAACCTCTACCACAATTTTATAATGTGATATTTAAGCCACCACTTCAAAGACTAATTTCTTAATACATACATAATAAAAACATTCATAAGAAAAATAAGCGTACCGTTATAAATATTTGTCTACCGATTTGTCTACGAAAGAATAACTTGTGTCGCTTAAAAGTTTATTGACCTGACGCCCACGAGTCGCACTTACAATAATATTACATAGTGAGAGCCTTGAAAGGTTCTCTGAATACCACAAAGGGCATGTGAGCAAAGTAGATCTTCCGTCATATGGCGGGCGTTATATGGAATCACAGTTTATATTGTTATTAGGATGTATATATTTGACGATATCCGTGGCGCAATGGCGAGTGTTTCGTTTTGCTTTCATGAGGTTCTGGTTCGACTTGCTCGGGCCAATTTAGAAAACTTGTAAGCTAAATTTATGCTAAAATTTAAATTTGAAATGAGATAATTAAAACTAATAATTATCCACTGCTTTTTTTATAATACAAAAGTGGCAAACAAGAATACAGCCCGTCTGATGGTAACAGTAACATGGTAAACGGTATTACGTGCGCGTTGCTGACCCTGAAGAAACCTTAATATGCCCTTTTTGAAAAACCTCATACCGCAGTCTATAGGGAAAACCCTGGCAAGCGTATTTTTTTTATACAACTTACAATGGCAAACAAGCTGACGGCCCACCTGATGGAAAGTGGTAACCGTCGCCTTTAGACCTGAGCAGTACCATGGACATAACAGAGTATACTGTTTCGCCCATGATACCCCCCATGCGTTGCCATTCCTGAGGACTCAGATATTATTCCTGTGTACCCTGTAAATTCACGCCATATCCCACCCTTCAAACCGAAACACAGCCATGCAAAAACAACTGCTTCCCGTAAAAACACGAATGGGACAGAGGTACCCAAGCAATTGACTTTTGTACAAAGTCTCCCTCTGGTTATTCCACAATCTGAGTGTTTGTGAGAGAAAACTCCTCTGAAACAGCACTGTATGCGACCAGTTGATCTATAGTGCTGGATTCACTAGGAATTAACCACAATGGTTTCCAGCGGGACCGTCGACCTAGCAGGAACTGGCGTCCTCGTCAATTATCCTTCTTACATCCATTTGCGCATCCATTGAGTCTAAACTCCGGAAGCCAAAAATAGGACTGTTAGATTTACTAGTAAATTATTAATTGATTCTTATTCTTTTACAATAACGGTGATAGTCGAAAGCTTTCAGTCACTTTTGTTGTTGTTTACAAAGTTGATATTACAAGACCTTGAAACAATTTTACAATAGGTATTGACATTGGCTCTAGTTTAGTAATCATACGAATTATAGGCCAAAGACGATCGATTGAGGCTGACAATGAGCTCTGAACATATCTAGTTTAATATGCGGCGTGAGCGTCGTGTACTTAAATTTAGCGAGCGTAAGCAATTACGACACACAGCGAGTCGCGAATGTGTTTTGTAAACACATAGAAAGTTGCTATAATTAAGTGTATCTTAGTGGTATGATAGAAGTTAGCAAAAACGAAAGTTTTACGTTATGATGGCGGACTAGCGTGACTTTCATAAAAGTATAATGTGATTATTTAACATCTAACGCCATCTAGAGGACTTTTTCGTAAACATCATCGATTTATGTATTAACATATTTGATTTTCGTGTTGTTATATCTAAATCGCGCTATTGATTCGGACAAAGCATATCCCAGTGTTTCGTTAAAATCCGTTCTTTCATTTTCATGTGATTGGCATCGAAAACTAATGTTGCCATCCCACCGTACCAGGTCGACTTCCATGCGGTCTCCCTGGAATCCATCATGATCATGTCGTAAATTAATCACGATGGCTTAATGGCCTTATTGGTGGGGAAGGGATGGTAATGGGGATTGGCGGCCAAATGGTAGCAATATATTGCTATTGTTTGGAGGGTACACTACGACGTTGATCTCCACATGGTTCTCCCTGGAAACCGGATGGGCTAACTGACCTGCTTCCATCATCTCTCGTTAGTACTTCGCCAGCATATATCGATAGCATAGAGGGGTTACTATTACATTTGCACCCATAAAAAAAACGTCATCCTGTCATCTCTTACTAGAACCCTGTCAGCCCACTCCTGTAGTGCAGATGGGGTTGTAAATCAATTTTGATACTTTAAAAATCAACTTAGAGTACATATATTATGTTTCACATTTACAGGAGCTTAAAGTCTTCTACATGATAACAGTGACCGTGATATTCGTGGTGGCGATGACACTGCAAATACCTAGGTTGAACGTCTCCTATCTGGTGAAGATGTGTGTGTTCATCGGATGGGCGGCATACGGCATGCTGCCTACCTTACACTGGACATACATTAACGGTGGTTTCGACAACCCTTTAGTACAGGTCAGTTGTATAATAAAGAAGTAACTTCGAAATACCTCCGGAGCCTTTAAATATAGCGTAAAAAGCACTTAGTGAGATGGCATAGTGCGGGTAACCGTTGAGACTGGAACATTCTCTTTTCGGTTGGTCCTATTCATGGATCATGTATTCTCTGTGTTCGGTCAAGATGGTGTGGTCACATCTCGTGCTGTAATAAAGAAATTTCTTCAGTCTCAGGACATATCAGCTGTATTTGTATGACTGTAAAGGAAGGTTCGGTTTAAAGGGCAGAATATTCAGTGAATCTACAGTAAATACTTTAGTTTCCTCAGTAATAACATCTCTGTGATTTTCGTCCCGCTGTTCATGTCTATAGCCGACCGTTGCCTACTACTTTCCATCAGGTGGGCCGTTAGTTTGTTTTAGGCATGAGTAATATGGATGCTGATCCGATATCTATATGTTGGGTTCCTCTGAACATTGATGGCGGACAAATTATCATTATCAATATCGGTCTGATATCTATTTTCGAATATGTTAAATATCCAATATTATTTTTTGGATAACGAGACTTTTAACATATTTGTTATTGGAATATGGTGAGGTGGCAAACAAGCATACGGCCCACCTGATGGTAAGTGGTTACCGTAGCCTATGAACACCTGCAATACCAGAGGTATAACGCGCGTGTTGCCGATCCTGAAGAATTTGATGAACTCTATGATGTAGTTACTAAAATATATAGATATTGCTATATATTACTCGCCTATAGTTTGTTTGCCATTCCAATTTCAAAAAGAAATGTCAACACATGAGGATTATCTCGATGACATCTCATAATATCAGTCTCTAAAAATGTAACTTGCAAAATATCTCAAAAGGTGAAAGTCTCAGAATATCAAAGTTTCAAAACTTATTATCATAATTCATACGGTGAGTATTCAGTCAACAATGCTTGACTGCGGTTCAGGAGTCGAAGATCGTATCCCAACTTAAAATCTCAGAATTTTTGAAATTCCTGTTGGGGTCGTTCAAAAGTGATTGTCGCTTTGTGCTTCAAGGGTCACGACGGTACAAGAGTATCGTAATTCACGCGGGCAATGCCGCGGATAACCAAGTAAAAAGAAAAATAACAAATACAGTAAATATTAATGAGAAGTGATACAAAAGGCGGCCTTATCGCTAAGCAATCTCTTCCAGACAATCTTTGGGTACAGGACATTGAGAAAAAAACAAAGGGTAGGTGGCGCACTATTATATAAATATTATCATATATATAGACATACATATATATAAATTAATAAAACACATGAGTAATAAATTGCATAATTTAACACACTATTCACCACATACTAGCCGTATGTATGTCTATATATGTGATAATATTTATATAATAGTGCGCCACCTACCCTTTGTTTTTTTATGTATACTATATTATATATATATTTTTTATGTATAGTATACTAATTTTAATTTTTCATTTTTTCAGATACTCGTCCCTAGAATCGTTGGGATGTACCTTATCAGTGGAACTGCATTCATAATTTACGCTTTTAAGGTACTTATGTTTATATGATTTAATAATAATAATGCTTTTAAATTGCTTAAAGAAAACATTCGTTTATAAGAACATATTCATTTGTCATGAATCTTAATACATATAAATAGATTCATTTCATTCAATGGAAAGTGGTAACTCGGACATGAGCAGTATCATGGACATAACAGAGTATACTGTTTCGCCCATGATACCCCCCATGCGTTGCCATTCCTGAGGACTCAGGTGTTATTCCTCATTACCCAGTAAATTCACGCCATATCCCACCCTTCAAACCGAAACACAGCCATGCAAATAACTGCTTCACGGTAGAAACACGAATGGGACAGAGGTACCCAAGCAATCGACTTTTGTATAAAGTCTCCCTCTGGTATAAAAAAAAATCTGATTTAAAATTATTAGTATGTTCTATAGCTAACTTTTTTAAATACTCAATAAAAAATGTATATACATATATATCCATTATGCAAAATTAATCATTATATAAACAATTCATTAGTATAATTTAATTTTAATTAATTATAATTTAGACATTAGACAAACATAAATAAATTACGCAGTGTTCATTAATCTTTCATGAAATTTTACTTTACATTTACGTAATTTAGCGTGTAAATCATTAACCCTGCTCTATTACGACACGTACAATCATATTACGACTCGTGTAAATCCTTTTTTAAAAGCCATTTAGCCAGTTACTACTCGAAGTTTAAAAAATTAACTTTTGAAGTTTTAATAAGAATGTCCATTCCATTTCAGATACCAGAAATTTGGTTCCCCGGCAAAGTGGACTACATCGGTCACTCTCACCAATGGTGGCACATTCTAGTACTGGGAGCTCTCTATTACTGGCACAATACAGCGATGTTATACGTACAGTACAGGATGAACCACGGCTGCGCAAGTACCATGAGGATATTTTAATTTATTTATATGTAGCTTCCACGAGCCACCCTAGAACAAAATATAGGCGATCTTTTGTCCTATTAATTGTATGATGCACAAACTGAAGTTATCTACTTAAACTTTGTCTTTTTACCCGACTGCCAAAGAAAATAGGGTAATGTCTATCAGGCGTATATATGTAACTAGTAAGCAAATAAAACGTGGTGTCAGAGAGCTTAAGGTAACATGACACTATAAACTAAATATGACGCTCGTGAATCGCCGAAATCGTATTTTTTTTTTTGTTATTTTGTCACACACATACTCGTGTTTTATGTGTGATATATAACATAATGTTAATCTTACTTTATTAATCTATGTTGTCTATACAATGTGAGGATGTTGATGAAAAAAACAAACTTCCAAAACAAATAAAATTTGCTTTGGTGCTACTTAACGAGAACCTCAGATGAAAGAATTGGTGTACGAAGGCCTTTAGCTTTACATACGACTCCAATATACTGTATATCTGAGTCGTTATATACGTAATTTAAAAAAAAAATACAGAAGTGATTTTTATTTTCTAGTAAAACTATTGATATTATGATATTGAAAGATTTTTATATTTTAATTATATATATATGTTGTAGACCTTTTGGTATATTTTAATTTAAATTTTAGCTCAGAAAAATAAATTCTTACCATTATCGATTATAACGTGTTTGCGCGGAAGAAGCCACAAGAAATTGTCAGAATTCTATATGTATAATATTCAGATTGCATTTATGATAGATTTTTTACCTTTTTTGTAACATGACTGTGTTGTTAACAAATCAACATTTAAACATGTTCATTACTGACATTCCTTGGTGTTCAATACATAATTATTTTTAAAAAGTAACAATATATTTTTCGTAATTATTTATGGTAGATTTTCATTGTACTTTATTATTTTAATAAGGCACAGACGGATAAAAAGGTACAGACATCTCAGTAATGAAGTCTTAGATTCTTTCCCAACCGAATAATACATGTTTTCACATTCATTTTGATCAAAACCATGTATGTATTTTAAAATGAACACATTCCATTTTGTCCTTACATAATTGCGCGACCTTTTCGTTATTAAATATTATTTTAACGTGTTTAAATATTCTGAGGCGACTTTACGATTGTTTATTACACTACTTATCAAAATAATTATTTACAAATAGCAACATTTCCAATTTGATTTTTTAATACAATACATTTAGTTTAAAATTCAACAGTGTTGCATGATAAATGTATATTTTTTTAGATGTAAGGTATACGCATTTTGAACGTCTATGACAGGAGTATTGCTAAATATCTAATTATCGATTTCTTTTAAGGCCTTTTATAATTGCTACTTACTTAAGTAAATATTACTGGCTTTTAAATTGTCAGCCACCAATACGATTGCTCAATATTATTTATACCTTTTTGGAATTTTCTTGTTATCGATTTTCGAATATATAAATTATTATACTTTTATAAAGTTAACTATTGTCATCTGTGATTGATATTGTTTATTTATTTATAAAAAGACATATAACATTGGATTTAATTATTCGTTGGTTTTGGTTTTTTGTACTATGTAGTTATTAAGCAATAAAATTTTAAATTAAAAATTTGTTTTATTTGGAAAGGACAATTATCCTATTAGTATTACAAAGGTGAGTGGGTAAAGATGTTCGATTCAATTACTGTTAAATGACTGAATTAATTTTAAAGAAATTTGTGACACAAATTTGTTTACCATGTTGCAGGTTAATATCGGTATAAGTGTCAAACTATCACTGATGATATTGTTTTAAATCCATTTCGATTTAGAAAATATAATTACAAATTGTATATTGGTTTTTAATCTTTAATGTTCAAAATATAGAATGAATGGAGTCAATTCCGTGGTGCCATTTTTCTAAACTTTAAAATTAAAGTTTGATATCACAAATCTTTATACGTAGGACAAATATGAATTATATTTCTAATAGATATAAATTAAATTATTATAAATATAGTTTATAACGTTTCATACAACTGTAATTTAACAAAACTATTAAATTAAAACATTAGGTTAACTTACAAAAGAGAAATGGTGCATTTTATAAGAACTTTGAACTAGCAATTCTGTTAAAATATAACGCCATCTATTAATAGATACTACAATTGAATATATATTACATAATCGTTATTCTACTTGACAATAGATGGCGCTTCGTCTTAGTTTTATGCAATTCTTAAAAGATGTCATTAGTGATTATGAAAAACGTTTATTCTTCATTTGTAATTTAAATAGATTCCTCTGAAAATGCTACAGTAGTAGTTATATTATATTACATTACATATTTATTACGTCTATCTGCTGTAATAGTTATCTATCCTATTTTATCAATATATCATCATCATAAAAGTCTTCTTCTTGGGGGGTTTGCCAGTAGTTGCCACGCTTGGCAGGCGGATTGGCAACTGCAGTTAGGCTTTAGAGATGTTTTAAGAGGGACGCTGCTAACCATCCCTCGCCCATATCAATATATATTTATTTTTAATTTTCAATTTTTCAAATATGTTAAGTTTAAAATTTAATAATTCACAAAAAATTTATACATAACTTTATATTATCTTTATTTAAATACTTAAAATTATAATATATTAGCCTTATAAATATATTACCTTTAAAGCTATCTAATTAAAAAAGCGAATGAAAAAGTAAAAAAGGCAGTTCAGTGCGTGTCGGACTCGTGCAACGAGGATTCCGTACAAAGATTCAGTAGCATCAGTTAGATGCGAATTCACACGCCTAAGGTAATATATACAATACAAAATGACCTTTATTGCATGTCTAATACGAAATAGAGACCTAATAGTTATTATAATTAATAATAAAACTCATAATTTATCTTATTTAGGATCATAATTCTGGTTGGAAACTGGACCGTATAAATCTTATAAAATTGTATAAATGGTGCAATAAAGTGTAAAATAATAAAAAAAATAAAATCCAAAACCCATAAATTTGCAGTTATATCACAAAAAATAACTTTTATGAAATTTCTTTTTCATTTATAATTTGTACGGAACCCTCGGTGCGCGAGTCCGACTCGCATTTGGCCGCTTTTTAATGTCTATAGCTCGTATTAATCGATCTTGAGTGAATATCAGTATTAGGTAACTGTTTGTATTATTGTTTTGATTATTAAATGAAAAATTGGAAAGAAGAGACGTTAGGTTAGAAGTCTTTTAAAAATAACTCATAAAAAAAATATCGATTTTCACCATTATATTGGCCAGCTATTTATATTACAATGTGATTTCAAGTTACCAAAATACCGCACTAAAGAAACAAGAAATAGGAGTTCGAAACATCACTGAGTTTTGATCATTAATAAACAAATGAGTTTTCACTAAAGAACTGAGTTTAAGACAAATTTCGGTTATAATCAATTGCTCTTATATTGGACATCGAGGTTAACATCAGCCTATGTGATACAAGAACGAATGCGAGATGACAGTGTAAAGAATACTATGTACTATCACTCTTTACTCTCACCCTTGAATGTTCTAAGAGGTGTTTGAGGAAATAAAGGGCAATATAATAGTGTAAGGAAATTCGAAACACAGCCTTATGCCAATACCAAGTTGCTTGGGAGAAAAGGGATTGCTAGTAGTGCGGACTACCAGCCCCATTACTAGCAATAGTGGTCCCCCCTGGAAACCATCGTGCTGAATTTTAGGTGTATTCATCACGATGAGCTAACAGACCTGCCTTTTTATACTCACCTATCATCCCTCACTGGTGTGTACCGTAAACACAGATGGGTTGCCATTCCATTATTATCCAAATAAAAAAATACCAAGCTGCTTGATTAGAGCGTATCAGTAGCAATAACAGATATTAGTAGGCTAGCTCGAGAGTGACACTGCTGCCAATGTCTCGACCATTAAACTTCCTTAGTCGTCTCTTACGACACCCACGTCACAGATAATATAATACTACATTAGCGTGAAAGGAAGGGATGGTCCATATTATGCCGGGAGCACACAGCGAATGACGGAATAGAATAATTGTATGTATTTTACTACAGTACCTATCATCATTAAGTTGGTAGGGATAATTGGAACTGGCCGAATCTCTTACACCATCCTCAACTACTGTTATAAAAAAAAAAGCATATTTTATTTCAGTCGCGCAAACGAAGTCGTGAGTATGAAAAAATAATCACAAAAATTAGCCATGTCGTTTAGGAAAAATTGTTCGGTTTCAAGAATAGGTGTTAGTAGGAAAGTACTTAGTATAATATATACATATAATACTTAGTTGATGTTCTTTTTATACGATTCATAAGCAAGCTACTACATCCTTACACTGTAGACCGGCCGGGCTCTCTTACCAATAAGTTTGCCAACTCTTACGTGAACCGCACCGTAACGATATAGAATGGTCTTTCCCGTGACGTTTCCTTCATTTTATAACTTTGGATCCTTCAAAAGTAGCGTTTTAAAGTACTCAGTGAGTCGGCATAATGCGGTCAACCGTTGAGAGTAAATCATTCTCTTTTCGGTTGATATTTTATAGTATTCATGAACCATATTGTCTCTGTGTTGGTTCAGGATGGTGTGGTTACATGGCGTGTTATAATAATAATAAAAAATAGATGAATCACCTGATGGAAAGTGCTATTGCTTATGGACTTTTTTTCTTTTTATACTACTGAGTGGCAAACAAGCATACGGCCCATCTGATAATAAGCAGTTACTATAGCCTATGAATGCCTGCAATACCAGGCACATTTTGCGTGCGTTGCTGATCCTGAAGAATATCCTTTACCCCTTTTTTGAAGAACCCCATGCTGTAGTCTCTTGGAAAAATCTCGATAGTAAATTCTTTCCATAACCTGTGTGAGAAAATATCTCTGACATAATATCTATGAACATGACCCTTACATTGTTTCCTTTCATTTCTTTTACAATTTCATTTAAGAGTATAGATATATAACACTAATTGTTATTTTCACATATCAGCGAATGTGAATTCATGCATTTGATGCAATAAATGAATTCTGTCGTTGCACAGAGCCCGCCTGTTAAAATGAGAGGTTTGGGATGGGGAGTAAAAAGATAAACGGCCAATATTTTCATTGCACCGATGAATGGATCCAATGTTGATTCAGCGTAGTGGAAAACTGGTAGGTAAACGTTTTTATATCCTATCACACAATACGTAATCCCCATAGGGCGATGAAAAAATTTTCCATTGAAAATAACGTTTCAAAAAATTGTTATTCTAATCATTTCACTTGCGTTGAATTATTTTTAGACCTTATAAGAAGTATGCATTGTAGTTTATTCTAGTATTTTTCCAATTTTATGTAGCCATATTTATTTTCATTGAATACCCAATAATGTCCCATAAATGAGTTAATGGTACTTACATAGTATTTAAGTATACACAATGTAAATATTAATAATTTAATTACAGGAGATGTCTCTATTTACTTTCCCCTGTAGCGACGAAAAATTTTAGGGCCAAAAGCTCGGTGTGAGTTTCACTACTTGTATGGACCATAGAGCGTACGAGTATTTTAGTAGAATAAATCGGA